AGCTGCACTTGGGGTGTGTGTGGGATTCCGTGCGAAGGACTCTACGGCTTCATCGAGGAAACCAGGTCTTGTACTAATGCAAAGGGGATCCCGTCGCACCAGTACTGTTGCATGTGAAGTGATATGGGAGGTCGCAATATAGCAGAGCGGGGAAAGAAGGGTCAGCGATGAAATACTTTATCAGAACACATACTTTACGCAAAATACTCGATGCGCGATTCCTTGAGCTAGATATTAGGATCGGAAAGAACAAGTTATTGTATAATCCAGATGACAGGCGAGCATAAAATGTGCAGTCAGTTCAATGGTAGCAGGTAGTAAGAGGAAGAGCTTCGAGCGATCGAACACCTTACAATGGTGCTAGAGTGGTGTCGAGAGGTCACCTGCCTCCCATAATAAAAAGAAATGACTGTCTTCCTTCTCTGACTACGGGAGACTACCTGCCTCCAAGTTTCGGAGTCATGGCTGGTGCGCCACGTCCCACCCCAAATACATCTCCACTTCCTCGATAGGGCTGACTAAGCAGTACCAACCCAATCCTAGCTTTCCATCCTTTTTTAGCTTTGCCCATGGTGAGACGGGCTTACGGGACTTACTTACTCATGCACATATCTGAATGGTTCAAAGGTCAGAACATGTGTCCTATAGAAATAATGAACCGTGTTAGCGTGCGGACGTGGTCAGGGAGAGATCAACATACCGCTGAGAGAGTCGGAGACAAATAACCGATGTTAAAGCCAGTAGCAAAACGAAACTAGCACATGCAGAACTTCAGCGGAAAGGGAAGTTCACATTAAGTATGAGCTCACCTCGCAAAGTAACCCACGCGACTCTCGATCAACAGTCCCCCGTAAGCCCTCCTGCCGATAATCGTCGCAGTTCACGGAAGTGTGTCACAGGGAATTAGACTGCGAGACATGTGTCGTTGCTATTACAGCTGCTACTCTATCGTGACGTTGACAGCTAGGAAGACGATAACGAGAAATATCAGCAACCTTTCTGGATCGCTGATACGTGGTATGTAGCTAAGCGATCATAATGACTTTCATGATGTTTCAGTGAAATCAACATTACCTGCAGCTGCTTACTCACCACTCAGCATCGTATACACGATCGCATTCATCCAATTTATTGCGAGGTACATGATACCGCCTGACAATCCAGTTAGTGATCAGCCTCAGAGGATCGACCATCTTGCTCACCCCAATTGTACATCACTCCAACAGAGGCAGAAACTACGAAACCGCAGCCAAGTTAGCCTCTCCGCGAACCTATAACATAACTGAAAATGAAACTCGAATTGATGAACGGCCACCAAGTGGGATCATAATATTCGAGACTAAGGTCATACTGTCAGGGGACGTGAGCGAGCGAGAACTTGGTGGACATGTCTGTTGGCTAATGAGAGAGAATCCCGGTGCAGTACATTGCCTGTACTGCACCCAGATTCTATCTCATCAGGCAGGATCGAAGCACTAGGGCCTTGCCAAAAGGAACCCCAACTTTCATCGAGGCATGCCGTTGGACACGATCTAGCGAGAGCAAGAGGGCTTGTCGTCAAGGTCATGCAGCTGAACAGAAGGAAGTGTCGGTGAATGCCGGGAGCACGTGATGTCCGTCCTCGGTCGCATAAGCAATTGAGTTACAATACAATGTTCCATCCTACACGGCCAGTCACAGCAGCTGTATCACATCAAAGCCCCCGCTTCCCCTCGCAACGACAAACCGCCCCATTCCCTCGTCAAAGTCCACCATGTCACCACGAAGACCATCACCACCAGCTTCCATCTCATATATAGCCTCTCCCATCTCAAATTCAGGACCAAACTGCATCTCAAACGGGGGCATGAACAACAGATTTGGCCCGCACAGTCGCACCTTCCCCCCAAACACGTACAGCCCGCGCCCCGACGATCTCATGCATATTTGCGTGCACCCCTTCACCCCTTCACCCCTTTCTCTATCTCCAAGTACATCCGGAACGAATGAAGATAGTCGGAGAAGCCGGTATGGGAAACTGGATGCATATTTTGCACCCTCGTCGTTGTCTAGCCGAATGAGCATTGACAGAGTAATCCCACCCGACTTGCCACGCGCAGCAATTGTGAGCGAAGGTGTCTCCATCGATGGCGCATACACCGGAGCATCTGCACCAGACCAACCTCGGGAAACACAAGTTGTGAAGGCGATAGGCGAGCTGATGTGCTCAGACAACATAAATACTTTGGTATGCGCGACCACCGTCCGTCCTTGGGTCGGTATGTCGGGTACCGGGAACACGCTAATGCATGTCTCCCACGCTACAAGGATTTGGTCTGAGAAATGGACGAAGCCTAAGAAGGCACCGAACTGAAGGAAAAATTACATCGGTTTATCATTTGAAGTCGCACTTGGAAAGCTTACCAGATCGGGTATACGCGGGAGAAGGGCAGTGCCCTCTGTCTGAGCATGCCAATCTAGGAGCTCAAGACCGCCCTCATCATGCTGTGACGTGGTATCCAGGAAAAGGAGGTGCCGCGATACCCCCGCGACAATCCCAGGAACGGACAAGCTGTCGCACAGCTTGCTGAGAGCAGGCTCCAAGGAGAGCGAGAACATGGTAGCGTGCCGATTTGGTCTGTCTGTTGTCAGCGAACCTTCGCGCTGGTATCAAGAGGATGAGGGGCTCACTGGTCTCTACAGCCGATGGCAATGATTCCATGGCGCTCTATGTCCTTCAAGACTATGCACGCATCATCACTTGGTGATGACCACTCTCCAACTTTTTGAAGCTCATGTGAGGCTCCTGACTGCTCGGAGATCAGCCAATACACCACCTTATTTCCATGGACGGTCAAGATCTGCATTCCACCAGGGATAAGCACAATCTGGTCAACAATCTCTCGATCTCTGTTCGAAACAATGACATTTGCCGTGGATCGTGACCAACGTCTCTCGAGGGAAAGAGCCAATAATGTGCGGTACTCTAGATCTGCAGAAGACAGAGCACGGAGAGAGCGCGAAGGACCGGGGGGTGGAAGGTGGCGGGCCAATACTTCAGTACAGAATGCCGCATACCAAACGCAGTGAAGCTTAGACAGAGAATAGTAACGTTGGGATGTCTGGGAAAGGCGGGATGTATGTGAGTTCTACAACATGAAGCGTAAAGGACGTACTCGTCTCAGTGTCAAGATTTCTCGCACAGATAATGCCTGGAATATCTGTATGAGAATATCATCGACCAAGTCATCCAATCTCGAGATGCAATGCATTCCAGATAATTGCGATGTTGATGTGGTGCCACGATGGCTCAACGCAGACCAAGGAATTGATACTTCCAGTAGCGCAATGGAGGCTGGGTATATATATGTGTAGGGATTTCATAGGACGTAAGAGCAGTCATCCCGGAGACTAGCATTGCCGGAAGATTGTGTTACCTACTAGGCAAAGGTTACGCGGTATCGAATCCGTGACGTCATTATAGCGGTGCGGACGCCGCGACACATGGTAGGAGGTCAAATTCAGTTGATTCCTGTATCATAGCTCGCTTTTGTACCTTCCCTATCCACTATCAATACAACACTAGAATGGAAACGTAACAAGGACAAACCTCAGTAGTACTCAACATCGATAGTTATTGTTCCCAAAAGACTAGCATAGCTCTCGGGGCTGCGCATCTTGAGACTCTTCCTGACCCTGCTTTAAAATCAATGGCTCAGGAAGCTGTGGCAACTCACCATACATCCATTTCAGGCAACGGAACAAGTCTGAGGCTGACGAAGGCGCACAAAAAAGGAAAGCGTCTGGGGCCTATATCGCGGGGCGTGCGTATCCGAAGTTGCTGGAAGTAGCCACTACCAAGTGAGTTATTGACAGTGCTGAAAATCGACAAGGTCCATTACAATGCACATACGTCTGGGCCCGTAAGCGTAAGGTTCCTATATCCTCAACTTGAATGTCTCACATTTGTTTCCAGATTACATTGTCTTCGCGCAGCGTGTCGATGTTGGCGTCGTGTCTGGGGATCAAACATTCAATGGTTGGCCACTTCTTGCTTAACACCTTACATAAATACCCACTGCTCTCGTACCACCCAGTCCACAAGGCACCTGAGGCTTTTTAAACAGGTCCAATGGACAATGGGTCATGCAGATACAAAATCTGCACATTGCTGTCTTCGGTACCACGGTCGTAAAAAGGTCGTAAAAAACCCCCGCATTTCGGCTGCAAAATAACCAGTCAGAATTGCTCCCAACAGAACTGGCGACAACCCTGATTTCCATCGCGATCGGTGTACCCCCAATGAGATCCGTGGCTAACACACCTTTTTGCTTGTGAACATCAATCTGGGAGGTCTGGCTCCTCTCTGTTGGGCGATCGCCATCACGTAGGTCAGGAAGCGATCTGAGGCACTCTTCGTCGAGCACCACCTCCACAAGACCCGGCAAAGACGCGAACGAATTTGGAGATGACGTTCGATTCATCGGGTCGTCTGCTTGTTCAGTATTGGTATCGAGCAGCATGTTGTCCGATGCATCTGAAGGCCCGCGAGGGACTTTGCGGAGACATAGGACGTGAGCGGAGAAATGTTATGAGGTCGAGAATACGATCGTTTCCCTTCCCTCAGAGGCGTGCGTCCAATCTCCGGGTTTTGTTTCGGTAATCCAGGTCGGAGTCATTGCAGAGCGTGGACAGAATTTGGAGGTATGCTTGCTCAATGCTGATAATCGATAACGCGCCCGAACCGATTCAATGTATGGAGAGGCCCTGGCAGTGTTGATCAGTAATAGCGGGCGAGGCAGAGATTGTAGGAGGAGCTAGAGGCTCAGCGAGTCTAGTAACGAACAGAGCTTCCAGGCCAATGCAATGGTTAAAAACCTTGCAATAGGGATGAGTGTCGCAACTGAACGTCAGGAAAACAAGAAATGGGTGGTACAACCTATTTTAGATGACTTCAGGCACAACACCCGCGACAAGCTGTACAGGAGCATTGATGACACCTCCGAAGACTGCGACTGCGAAGGTAAGCGTCCTTTGTGTTCTGTGACAAGGAAGATGGGCCCAGGGAGAACCACTTTCATGCATTCAAAGGACATCTGCGGTCCAACGGGATAGAATTGAGGCCAAAATATGATGGATGTTATCGTTTGTACGAGGAGATCTCTCGCTTAAACAGAATGGGCGGAAAGGCTTCACAGATTTCGTAGACATTTTTTTCCGTGGGAGAGGGATATTTGTTGGCTGATGAGAGATAATGCAAGTAATGTATATTCGACCCGTCATCAGGACAGCAACGAATTCAAAGAACTAAGACCTTGCTAATTTCGTAGAGACAAAACTTCCGAATCACAGTAAAGGTGGCATGGCGTGCTAACACGTTGGACACGATCTCAAGAATAAAATCGAGAGCTGGAGGTCCTGCCGCTCGAAACGTTGAACTTGTGAAAATATTGACGGTTACGAACAGATGCAAGCTGCGCCGAGAGCCTCTGAGGAGCTTGACGATTATGAAATGATCTTCGTGCAATACTTACCGCACAGCCACTTAACTTAGTGGTTGGCCGGTTTTTGCCGAGTGCACGTGATGAGCTTGATCGAGCAGTTTGCAAGATTCTAGGTTTGTCTGTCTCGATGGACGACGCTACACCAACAGTTCCGGTGCTGTCTACAGACATGGCAGTTGAAGACGTGAATATGAAAGACGAGACTGCACCAGGAGCCGAAGACGATATCCAATTGGTAGAGACCGATAGTAAAGGCGCGGGTGACGAAGGACAGCAAGTAACCCCGAACCCAGATCCAAGCGCTTCTGAGCCTACGCCCTTACCGATTGCAAACGAAGACGTACCAATGTCGGACAAGGGCAAGGAAATACAAAAACCGGATGTTAACCCAGAAACCACTCGAGACGTTAGTATGCCGCCTCAACAACCTTCCCGTCCTCAATCTCCGCGCATCGAACATCCTCAGCCATCCACTTCTAGACAAATGCCCCCTCCCACTGGCTCACGTCCCGGATCCCGTCTTCCTCCCATGGGCTCGTTCCAAGTCCCTTCTCAGCCCTTGCTAGAGCGCCCCCTCAACGTCACAGATGCATTGAGCTACCTCGATGCCGTCAAAGTACAGTTCCACGACCAGCCCGATGTCTATAACCACTTCCTTGACATAATGAAGGACTTCAAGAGCGGCCTGTACGTTTCCAATTTCATCTTAAATGCGCTAACTCATCCATCTATATAGCATCGATACCCCAGGCGTCATAAAACGCGTCTCCCACCTCTTCAATGGTCATCCCTTCCTTATTCAGGGCTTCAACACCTTCCTTCCTGTCGGCTATCGTATCGAGTGCTCCTCTGACCCCCAACAGTCTGCTTTTATCACCGTCACCACTCCTACCGGTACAATGCTCCAGTCTACCCGTGACGACTCTTGGCCTTCTGCTCCAACCGCTGCCTCAACCACCGTCTTGGGTCCTGACCCTGATCCAAATATGTACGGCATGAATCTCGGTGACAGCTCCTCTATAGAACCAGCCGTTCAGTACGTCCAGAAAATCAAACAACGCTGCGACGAAGCAACATACCGCCGCTTCCTAGAAATTCTTGGCAAGTACCATAACACCACTGATGCCGTTGATGAGGTGAGCCTCCTATCTCTTACGCAGAACAGTATTCTCATGATCTTGACAGCGCGAAGTATCAGCTGAAATCGCCCGCCTTTTCAAAGACGACCCCGATTTGCGCGCAGATTTTAGGATCTTCATGCCCGAGAAGAGTCAGGCTCTTTTTGACGAAGTAGAAGAAAGCTATATCGCCCCCGCAGGACGCCGCACCCGCTCAAACACACCTCTCGACGGCAAGCCCCTCCGCCGTCGCCCAGAACCCCAACCACCCGTCGAACCCACCGTTCCTCAAAAACGCAAACGCAAAGCCAACGAGCGCGAACGAGACACCGTCTCCTTAGCTCCCAAAGCTCCTTCCAAGGTGACTCCCTGCCCCCTCAAAAACAAACAACCACTGACCTCTCCAAGCCCAAACAGCTCCCCCTCCCACCTTCCCTCCTCCCACCAGACGACACCCACTTCTTCGACCGCGTCAAACGCGCGTTAGGCAACCGAGACACCTACAACGAGTTCTTAAAGCTCGTGAACCTCTTCACCCAGGAACTCATCGATACCGCTCGCCTTGTCCGCGAAGCGCGGAATTTTCTTGGAGACGCGGAATTGATGCGCCAGTTTAGGGAGATTCTTGGGTGGGATGATAGAAGGGAGAGGGAGCGGTGGGTGTTGGAGGAGAGTCAGCAACAGCAGACGTGGGCGAGGGTTCAAGGCCAGGGAGGGCCTATGATCGTTCCCATCCGCCCAGGAAGAGTAAATACGGGGCTTCAACAAGGAAGCTACCGCCGAATGCCCACCATCGTACGTCCCCCCACCCAAGCACCAAAAACCAACTAACAACCCAACAGGAAGGAAGCGTCACATGCACAGGCCGCGACGAGATGTGCCGCGCAGTCCTCAATGATGAATGGGTCTCCCACCCAACCTGGTCGTCCGAAGACGCAGGCTTCGTAACGCACAAGAAAAATATCTACGAAGAAGCTCTCCACCGGAGCGAAGAAGAACGCCACGAGTACGATTTCCACGTTGAAGCAGCCACGCGCACTATCACCATCCTCGAGCCCATATCTGCTAAAATCTTACAACTCCCCCCTGACGAACGTAGTGCCTTCAAACTAAAACCTAATCTAGGAGGATCGGGCAAGGCGGTGCATGCGAGGGTCATTAAGAAGATATATGGGAGGGAAGCAGGGTTGGAGGTGTTGCAGGCGATGCAAGAAGCTCCGGCCTTAGCTATCCCAGTGGTACTCCACCGCCTCAAGGAGAAAGAAGAAGAATGGAAACGCGCACAGAGGGAATGGAATAAAGTGTGGCGAGAAGTAGACGCTCGAAATGCGTCCCGCGCACTGGACCACGCAGGGATAGCATGTAAAGCCTCGGACAAAAAAGCGCTCTCTGCGAAAGCCCTCGTTGCGCAGATCGAAGCTGCTAGGGACGCCCAGGTGTGTCAGCGCGCTGCGCTTGTGGACCCTTTGTTTGCGCGTGCGAGGGTCAGGCATCAATTAGCGTATGAGGTGCAGGATACGGGGGTCCTGCAGGATGCTGTGAAGATGGCGTTGTCATTCTTGGATCGGACGCAGGGACAGATTGGGGGGGTGGAGAGGAGGAGAGTTGAGGGTTTTTTGAGGAGTTTTGTGCCGTTGTTTTTCGTGTTGGATCAAGAGGTGTTTCATAGGGCGTTTGTGCTTGGGGAGGGGGAGATGGAGATGGGTGAAGATGGGGATGACACTGAGACGAGTAGTACCGGGAATGGAGGGGGGAGGAAGCGGAAGGGTGGGATGTCATCTGGTGGGGATTTGAGGAAGAAACTGCTTAAGAGCGAGCAGGCGAAATCGACGGGGAGGAAAACGCGTGCGCAGGAAGCGGCTTCACCGTCTGCTTCGAGACCTGCGTCTCCTGCTATACCCGATGTCATGCAAGTAGATGCTACCGCTCCGGAGGAGGGAGAACGAGAGCCTGCTGCTCCGTTGCGCAAGGCATCGAGGAAGAACGTGTTCTTTGGGAATACTGTCTTTTATGTCCTTTTGCGTCTTCTCGAGGTACGCGTCTATTATATTCTACTCTTACATCCTTCCTTAACGTACCTTCCACAGGCACTGTACTCCAGACTCTTACTCTTCAAGCACCTCAGCGCGCGCATCGCCCTCTCCTCCCCCAAATCGACCTCCAAAACCAAAATCAATCCGGTGGCCACAGCCCTAGGCATGCCCTCCCTCGCGCACCTCGCTCAGCTAGACGACCGAGCTGCTCATGCGGATCATTTTTATGAGTTGATGTTGGAGTCATGTGAGAGGCTTTTTGATAACGAGATCGAGGCGCATGTGTTTGAGGAGCAGATGCGGTATATGTTTGGGGTAAAGGTGGGTTTCTTTCTCTTGATTTTGTTTCCGTGTTTTTGGGTTTTAGTTGTGGAGTGAAGTGGGTATTGATTATTGGTGATAGGATGCCTACCGGATATTTACGATTGATAAAGTCATTGGGTCATTAATTAAACAGGTGCGTCCTCGTCTCGTCCTGCTCTTCATCTAGTCGTGGGTCCCTTTTGACTCTTGAATGCGGGGGTAGGTCCAGCTCGTGTTAGCTGATGCCAGGAGTCAAGAACTCTTTGAGCTTCTGAAGCGCGATCGGGCATTACAAGCTCCTACCATCCAGGACCAGCTCAATAGTCGGAGGTTTGCGGAGAATGTCCTTGGGCCTGATGAGAATATTTTCAGGGTGGATTGGGTGCGTCTCTTTCCTCATTCTTCACGCACTGTTATATTCAACGCTAACGTTTATATGTTATGTGTCGTCGCTGCAGCTCCCAGACACGAAAACAATGACGATCCAATTACTCGGCAAAGACGATTCCAGTTTCGATGATTCTGAGATGTTGGCGGAGAGGTGGCAGGCGTATGTCGATTCGTTTGTTTCGGTGCGTGTTTGTGACGGGTGTTTTGGTGTTGGGTTGATGTTGATGCGTTTGTTTATGTGGTTTGTAGAGTCCTGTGACGGAGGGGATATCGCAGGCCCGTGTTAGACGTCCGTTTCTTCGAAAGTGTGTACACCCTGCCCCTGCCCTTCAACCTCCTGCACACAATACTAACCAGTGCTTTACTTCGCAGGAACGTACCAGCCTCAGTTACATCCAGCACACCAGCCGTACTCGCGCGTAGCGCACTAGAAACGAAAGTATGCGTACGGACGTACCGCTTGTTTTTTGTATCGGGTACGGAGGACTTTTTGTGGCGGATTCCGTCCAAGGAGGATGTGGATACGGGTTCGAGTGCGGGTGTTGGAAGGGAAGCAGCGAGTAAGAGGCGAGAGCGGTGGTTGGAGAAGACGCAGGCGGGGGAGTGGCCTTCTAGTTTGAGTGCGGAAGCTAAGGTGATCACGGTGGGTGCGAAGGAGACAACGCCTGTACCTGTGTCTGTGAGGGTAGTTTGAGGTGCTGGTGCTGGTGTTGGAGGACATGTAGATGTTGTGTATAGTGCGTATGGTTAATCATCGTTTCTGCTGCGCTTGAGTACTCGGACATTTGAACGTTACTATCGAACTGTTCTGTTTACCGTTGTATGATTCTAACTTACTAAGTAATATAGCCGATCTTATCTAAACTTACATCCTCACCACAGATTTCATAATCTCAATTTCGTTGTCGTTTCGCTCTCGTACCTTCACTGCGATCCCGTTCCGTGTTACTCCCACTGCTTGCACGAGCAACGAGACCACCGCCTCTTTCAAGACGCACATCCAGATCTCCCGATGGCACACAAAGTCGACCCTCAGAACCTCAGAGAGACATTCGGGCGCTTTCGAGTTCTGATCCTGGGCCGAGCCAATGCAGGCAAAACAACCATCCTGCAGAAGGTCTGCAATACCACAGAAAATCCAGAGATTTACAATGCCAAAGGACGCAAGGTGTGGGATATGTTTTATAATATGCGGGCGTCGAGCGCTGATCATGTTTGTGGATAGATCGATGCCACCATCGTGGAAGGCACGCGATTGGTGTGTGCACTGTCATCTGCCTTACGAGTATGCATGCGCTGATGGGTGCTCAGCGTGGAAATCACAATATTAGGAACGAGATGGTGTTCAAGAGTAATCCCGGGTTTGTCTTTCACGACTCGTGCGGTTTCGAAGCGGGCTCTGCAGAAGAATTCGAGGATATGAAGAGATTTATCTCAGAACGCGCGAACGCGACGGAATTAGAGGAACGAATACATGCTATCTGGCAAGTGACTCCCTCCCGCGTTTGGCGCTTGTCCATTACTATCATACAGGTACTGTATTCCAATGGACGACCATTGTCGAACAATCCAACGGGCAGAAGAGAAGTTCTTCTCTGAATGCAACACTGGTAATGGTGAGCGTGCAATTCCAGTGTCTGACTGTGCCCGTACTAAATACCATTCAGTTCCCGTAATTGTGATATTCACGAAGTTCGAGGCCTTGCGTCCAGTGGCGTTCGGAGAAATCAAGAAGGACCTAGGCGGGCTATCAAAAGAAGAGCGATCGAAGAGGATTGCCGAACGTGTTCAAGAATTGTTCAAGAATACCCGTGTCTGGGATCGATTGTGCGAATTGTGCGATACCGAAAACCATGCCCGTCCCAAGTCCTACATATGCTTGGAGAGTAAGTAGTTCAATATTGGTTTGTCTAGTGACAAAGTCAACACGAGTCATTCAGATATGAACCGGGCGGATACAAATTGTAACACGCTACTGGAATGCACAGCATTTGCATTGGACAGCGAAGAATTGAAGTTGTGCTTCGTGTCGACGCAACAGTCCAACATGGAACTTTGTATCAAGTATGCTGTTGAGTGAGTGGCAAAGTTGCATGTGAACTAGCACCTAGTTGTTTTTTAACATCATCTAGAACAGTCATTGATCATGCACACCGACAATCCTTCCTACGTCCAACTGATCATGAAGACTACCAATTTGACATTGCTAAGTGGTTTTCATATATGAAAGTAAGATGATTGATTCAATATGACAATGCTTGGCGAGGGCACTCACAAATGGTAAATATTGCAATGCTGAAACTGCAGACATTCTGACATCTTTTCCGTGATTTTAGTTGTTCTTTAATAATAGCCAGTAAGATTGTGGTTTGCAAAACTCAAACAGCATTGACAATACTGATGGGTTGTCACTTCTGGCCTGTTGACAGTCAGTAAGTGCCTGGATGGTGTCTCATCCTGAACTCATTCTGATGATCCTGATCACTTGTTGCTGCTGGCCTGTTGACAGTGGGTAAGTGCCTGGATGGTTTCTCATCCTGAACCCATGCTGATGATCCTGATCACTTGTTGCTGCTGGCCTGTTGATAGCGTGTAAGTGCCTGGATGGTTTCTCATCCTGAACCCATGCTGATGATCCTGATCACTTGTTGCTGCTGGCCTGTTGATAGTGCGTAAGTGCCTGGATGGTATCGCATCCTGAACCCATGCTGATGATCCTGATTGCTTGTTGCTGCTGGCCTGTTGACAGTCGGTAAGTGCCTGGATGGTTTCTCATCCTGAACCCATGCTGATGATCCTGATTGCTTTTTGCTGCTGGCCTGTTGACAGGAGGTAAGTGCCTGGATAGTTTCTCATCCTAAACCCATGCTGATGATCCCCATTTCTTGCTCCCCCTGGTTCTTTGACAGTATGTAAGTGCCTGGATGGTTTCTCATCCTGAACCCATGCTGATGATCCTGATTGCTTGTTGCTGCTGGCCTGTTGACAGTCGGTAAGTGCCTGGATGGTTTCTCATCCTGAACCCATGCTGATGATCCTGATTGCTTGTTGCTGCTGGCCTGTTGACAGTCGGTAAGTGCCTGGATGGTTTCTCATCCTGAACCCATGCTGATGATCCTGATTGCTTTTTGCTGCTGGCCTGTTGACAGTCGGTAAGTGCCTGGATGGTTTCTCATCCTAAACCCATGCTGATGATCCCCATTTCTTGCTCCCCCTGGTTCTTTGACAGTATGTAAGTGCCTGGATGGTTTCTCATCCTGAACCCATGCTGATGATCCTGATCACTTGTTGCTGCTGGCCTGTTGACAGTCGGTAAGTGCCTGGATGGTTTCTCATCCTGAACCCATGCTGATGATCCTGATTGCTTGTTGCTGCTGGCCTGTTGACAGTCGGTAAGTGCCTGGATGGTTTCTCATCCTGAACCCATGCTGATGATCCTGATTGCTTTTTGCTGCTGGTCTGTTGACAGGAGGTAAGTGCCTGGATGGTTTCTCATCCTGAACCCATGCTGATGATCCCCATTTCTTGCTCCCCCTGGTTCTTTGACAGGTGGTAGGTCTTTTGACTTTGCCTTGCATTGTCATGATACTGACATAATGACAATTAAAATCATTTGTAGCCTAATGTAAGTTTCCTCTTTTTTCTGTCACTTGTCACTTACATCATGCATAGTTTGTTGAGTATCCATACTCTGGACCTTCTCTTCTATGCTTACTCCTCTTACACATTCCTATGCCCTGCACAGAATGTGAGTTGATTACTATGTTCCAGTCCTTAGCATCAATTCTGATTTGCACTTTCTTTCTAGGCCGTGAGTGTGTTTCAATATTTCGCAACTGGACCATAGTAATCCTTTTGTTGTATGCTTGCAGAATGTATGACATCTCCTTTGATATAAATGCTCCCCTGACACAGATTTTGTTGACCTTTCACAGCTAGTAAGTCCATTGATGGTCCGCCAGGCAGATCCTTACTCTTGTCTCGTGGTTCTAATCTGAATCTAACTCCTTGATAGTTTGTAAGTCATTCGATCATCATAGCGGACATTTTCTGGTGGTTTATTATTCAAAAATATTACCCGAACAGCACGTAAGTGTATTTTCAAGAATGTCACCTGATGATTTTGACATCACTGTGTACCAGGAGGCAAGTGCTCTGTTTCAATTTGTTCTAACGGTCACACCTTCCCCTTCTCTCAACAACTAGATCAACACTCGGAGATCGCATATTTTGTCTGCCCTTCAGCCTTTGGTGGGTACAGTTCCTCGCATTGATCCTCGCCACTCTTAAGAATCTGCAATAGGCTGGCAAGGGAACATGGTTCACTGCTGCAAAAAGCCTCATTCAGACTGGTGTTGGTTAGTTTCCGACTGCATGGCCAGTTACCATTTTACTAACAAGAGGCAGCTACCATTATCGTCCTCGAATATGCTGCTTTCCTCCAGCATGACCAGGGACTGGGGTTCATTAAGTCTGCCGTGGACTATTATGTGAAATCTCCTACGGCTGTCGCTGTGGAGAAAGTCGCGACGGAAATTGCTGGTAGAGGCTATGAGAAAGAGGAGATGGGAAAGAAGATTCTCGAGTTCATCCTTGCAAATCGCCTGTGTACGTCCCTAGTCTGGTTTCGAACCCGGAACTTGAAGTTGACCAACCGTCCGCAGCAAAGGAATTGACAGCGAAGAAGTAGATGATGTTCGAGCCAAGTTCCATGTTTTCCAATGTTCCCCCCCATGCTATTCCGTGTTGTGTACGATATCAAGCACACCAGCTACTTTCAAAGTCTCGAGGCTCCTTCCCATACTGTGTACTATACCAAGCACTCCAGCTTCAACTGCTGAGTGCTGCAGACTGTACTACCAGGTTTCAACACCCTTTTTCAGATCTCATCATCTTGTTGTCTGCTTTGTCACACCGTGTATTGAACTCACGTCAAGTGATCATTGGACTAATAAGCTACCGCCGTATTCCCGCCAGCGAACGTCTTTATACCAAGTGTCCCAACTAACCACTCCACAGAAAGCCAACGTTACATGCACGGGCCGCGACGAGATGCGCCGCGCAGTCCTCAACGTCTCACACGCAACCTGGTTCTCCGAAGACGCAGCCTTTCATAGCGCACAAGAAAAACCTCTACGAAGAAGGACTTCATCGCAGTGAAGAACACCACGAGTCGATGCAGGTAGACGTCACGGAGGAGGGAGAACGGGAGCCTGCTGCACCGCTGCACAAGGCGTCGAGGGAAAATGTGTACTTTTGGAATATTGTTTTCTACGTACTTTGCGACTTTTCGAGGTGCATTGTTCTATTTATTTTACTGGTCTTACATTCCTAACGTGCCGCTACCAGGCATTCATATTCTTTCAACACCTCAGCGCCTAAATCGACCTTTCAAACCACCCCGTCGCTACAGCATGCCGTTCCCCACACAACTGGCTCAGATCGATGACCGTGTTGCTCATGCAGACTGTTTATATGATGGGATTGACCAGCATGTGTTTGAGGAGTAGATGCGATATACATCGTGTAGGTGCGTTTCTTCTGCGTGTTGTTTTGTGGAATGGGGTGTTGACTCGGATATCGGGTGATAGGATGCATATCGGATATATACAATTGATACGGTGATTGGGTCGTTGACCGAGCAGGTGCGGTTTCATCCTCCAGTATCTCGATGTTATGGGTCGTTTTTTTGGTGTGGGGTAAGTACAGCTTGCGTCAGCTGATGCTAGGAGTCAAGCAGCCCGACCACCTTCCAATGTGACTGAGTCTTTGTCCTCTTGGAAGGCGACCCCTTCCATTTGAAGCGTTCAAAGCTCGGATGCAGATGCCATCCGGGGCTGCAGAACTGACAGTGTCGACTATACATTGGTGTATATTTATACACGATCCTACGTCATTCGAGCGACGAGTAGTAATAGGTATCGATGGGAGATGTTGGCGTGCTGTCGTGCGATGGTTGGGTGAGAATCAAACGAATACTGTTTTGTTTGATTGCCAGCAGATGGTTTTTTCGGGCCGAGCCTCTGCGAACGGGTGTACACTGTAGTCGCCCTACGTGGCTATTTTGGCGGTTCTGTCGCGCGCGGCACCTTCAGCTGCGTCAAAGCTGCCACTCCCACCGACGCGGCATTGACGCATAGTAAGAAGGAACGACCATCTTCATTCGTCTATGGTCTGTCCAGGTCAAGCCAGAATTCCTAGTGGATGATGCAGTACAACGCATGTCGCTATCTTGACCAATTACTAACCCACACAAACTTGAACCCGTTACCCCATGAGTCATGAATTCACTTCTTTTCTTAGAACGGAATGCGAAAATCGTAAATGCCTTCACCTCGTCCAGTTCTGAGCCAGTCTCCAAATCTTGCCTCAAAACTGCATAAATCGTGCAAGACGAACCCTGGATTGTTTCGAAGCACCGTAAGTATATCCTTGCTGGAGATACGTCGGTTCATAATATTGCCAACTGAAAGTAGTAACTTAAAGTACACCTCACCTCTCTGGATGTCGTCACAACGGATTAATCATCATCACCCGTCTCTTCATCGTATCGGGTTCTCTTTTATGTTGCAACCCTCTGCAGGATGGTGCTTTTTCCTGCATTCGAATTTCGCTTTAGGATTCGGAAGCGATCAAGGTACTGGCATAGGGAAAGGTACCAAAGTGTGTACAGTAACTGTGCGAGCGCCCGTAATATATCACAGGATTTGCTGGATGGCCTCCCGTATAAACATGGCGCATGGTCTCTGCCCAACCATCTCTACTTTCATACAGGAGACTTTTGCCTAACTCGAATCAGCCTCGACCGTTCCCTGTCCTTTCTATATCTCCGGTACTCAACTCTCCATCAACGTGGTCAACCCCGCTGAATCAAATATCGAATTAGACATCTGTATTGATTCAGCAAGTCGGAAAAGAATGTAGAGTCTACTGAAGCAGGGGTCGGCAAGCTGCAAAGACACACTGAACGCGATGAAGGAAAGATCCTGTGACAGACATTTTCTCCACCCATGTAAGGGATTGGAGACACCGAGACGAATGTGCCATCTAAATTGTTATTTTTTCTGACAGTAGCAAACTTTCTCTTGGGGGATCTATTTTCCTTACGTTTACGCGTACAAGAGACAATTTAGGAAGACTGGCCATGAAGACATTTCTTTCGATATGGTGTTCCGCACGTCTGATACAAGGGGATCACCTGATAGACAAGGTCGACCGCCTCGCCTTGATCAAGTACTCACGGACTTAATGTCACAGAATACCACAAGCCTCACGAAAACATCATGGTCGTGGTTGAACTTTTTGGGAATATAATAATTGTTAAAGTAAGAATCCATATCTCACATCGAAAATCGTTTCTGAGTCGTAGGTCAGCGAGCAGAGCAGCCTGTCTCTGATTCTCTGCCTCCGGTACAACACTGGAACTCTTGCCCACCACTGACGAAATCATTCGAATCTGTCCTCGGTGGGTCAGGATGAACCTTGACGTGTTTCCAGGTTGACGTCAGAGGTTCCCCAGGTTCCGAATTCTGGTAATAGGAAAGGTACTGGGTTTTCGTCGATTTCAGGCCAGTATTGACAGTGTTTCCAATAGACCGGTGTTGGCAAGTCCTCGCTGATCAATCAAGCATTCGAGGTGTCAAACGCGGTGGGCTGCTCGCCACAGTATGACATAGAGAGTTACTCATGTTGTCCCCATAGATCGCTTCGAGTCATAAGCCAGGCGAGCCAACATCGATCACGAGTTCATCCCACCCCAGAATGGCAGGTTTTTTTTTCCATGATAGCAAAGGTTTCGAACCGGGTGAGGAAGACAATGTGAACGTACTCCGAGATTTCATTGAACATCGGAGAAACATGCTTGATTTGAAGGATCAGCTGCACGCTGTTTGGTAGAGCCTCCATCTCGATGGGTCTGAATGTAAAGTTGATGAAATGCGAAAGGCTTTGTTTTGAGATACCTCATGCAGGCGGTCGTTTACTGGAGACAGGCATGGAGGAATTCCTGACATTGAAGCATGGTGGAAAGCTGGGAAACAGTACATGAATAAATGACTATCTCTTTGCGTAGGTTGGAGCTCACCCCTAGTCAAAGCTCCGTTCTCACCAAATACGATAGGTTCATCAACCGTGTAAATCGTACTCTGGACGAATCCTCTGTCACGGAATTGAGCCCCAGCGCCGTCAAGGAACTCGTCAAGAACAAAGCAGACACTGATTTAAAGGACATCTGCATAGGACCCCTAGAGAATTCGCGGGGTCGGATATTCCACACCTTTGCTCATCGCACGTTCGGCGAGATCTTGGGGAGTACCCGGACTCTGGGTACAACTCTGCGATGAATTTGAAGGATTAGGTTCGAGGTTCGATGGCAGGCGTAAGCTTAGATTCGTTCGTGTCAGTGCGTGCCGTAATACGAGTATTGTTGGGATGTTGGATGTGCTTTGCAAAGTTCATCACGGAATGAGTATATTCCTTCGGAAGTACGCGCTCCTCCTCTACAATTAGCTAGACAGCCGCCAGCGTGCTGTCATGCGTGGCCGCGTTGCTGAGGCTTGGTAGTGGAGGTCCTCCGAATCGTCTTTTACTTCCCTCATTTCTTTTTGAATCCGTGTTTATTGTCCGCTGGGGCTATGCGCGGCCCGTCTTGTCAAGGAGGATCAATCGATTCTATTGAGCATTTGCTTCTACTACTAAGTAACAATTCATGATATCATAGGCAGCCGCGTGTCTGATATTTTTGTTCACACTTAAGAGGGTGTCAAGCAGTCGCTGCTTCGCGAGGTAGAGAAATGTAAGTCCATGCTTACCTCCAGATTGACCCGTACCAACGCATTCGAATCAGTCGGACGCGCATGTGGTTTGAGTCCATTCATTCCGCATCCCTGTTGCCTGAGCACTAGAGCCGTGGTCCTAAACTTCTTCAGTACATGTGCTATGCTGTTATGAGTGCCCGCGGGGAATTATCCCTACCCCCAACAAACTCTTTGATGACATATACACTTCAGCAATGTTGAAGTCATGGGCACTCCCATATTTCGCTGCGCAGGTGTTCTCTCTTTGGAGCACCGAATTTTATGGTGGCGAACTCATCTACACTCGTGATTGGGGGCCAGAAAAAACACAAGTCGATAAAGCACATTCTGATGTCATCTCTCGCACATTTCTCTACGTAGCATTTTGTTCGTTTTTCGCATGTCATTTGTATCTTGCACGGCTCTCCGCATTCTCAACGCAGCTCATACGTATTCTATTCCAGTTTGACCTCCGTACGTTGTCTCTCGCACGTTTCTGGCATATCCCGCACGTTTCTCAGTCTCCCATCCACATGCCGGACGCAAATCATATCATATATGTATTCTATTCGTCCTATCAATCAATACGTATTATTACAATTCGATGGTTTGGCCTCATGGCGCACAATGGCATTTGGCTCGTTGAAATTCATGTTACTTCGTGCACGCTCGACGGGTTTCTTGGGGAGTAGCCAGTAGAGCTTTGCGATGAATTTGAAGGATCACGTATTTGGATGCAGTGTTGCACGTCCTACAAAGTTATCTTGAATACAAGTACGGTATCATCACACCTGCACATGAAGCACAACCAGGGTACAAGAGATATTCTCTCCAATAAGGTGCAAGTGCTTTTTACGTTTTACGGTGCTGTCACCTCACTCTCGACGCTCAGTAATCAATGTCTTCCAAGTTTCCGCCAGGTATGTCTAGTCAAGCCATCATTCAGTGAGAGGGCGAAGTGATCGATATACGGACGCACCTCATCGTTCGTGTCCTTCAGGCTCGGCCTTTCCAACATGGCCTGCGCATACTTCATAAATTTGGCATACTTGGGCCCTTTCAATTCTTCCCCGAGTTTGATACCCTGCCCAACCGAGAACGCTCCGATGTCAGTTTCATAGGTGATCTTCAACCTCGAAAGGAGCGGCGCGATGCACGCGTCAGCGATAGTATAACGATCTCCGACGGCGAATTCGCCACTCTCCGACAGAAGCCCCTGGATCATTTCGACCCCTTTGAGATACCCGTCGTAAGACTCTGTGCGACCGTACATCCACTCGTTGCCTGGCCTATCAAAGTGGCGGTCCACAGTGTCCATGAAGAAAAGCACTTTAGCGCGCTCGACAGGGTCCATTGGGAGTAGTCCGGACTCTGGGTAGAGCTCTGCGACGAATTGGAGGATCACGTTGGACTCTGCGAGTTTGAATGATAGAGGAGATGGGTCCTTGGGGTCGACGTCTGGACCACCATAGGTGATTGCGGGTACCTGGATCCGAGGTACAATGAATGATTAGGGCGATAATCAAGTTGAGAAATTGGTGCGGACCTTGCCAATGGGGTTCACTTGAGCAGCGAACCACTTGGGTTTATTGAAGAGGTCGACTTGGTAAGCCTTGTACTCGATGTTTGCTTCCGCAAGTGCCAGCTCGATCTACAAGCAATGTTAATGGCGAGCACCAGATCTTGAAATGCACACTGACTCTGTGGCTGTAGGGAGAAAGCTGTGTTATCATAATTCCATTAGAGCGATTCTAGAGGACTTATGTAGTTGTCACTTCACCTTGTGTAAGTACAGAGTCAGTTGTTCAGGCATATTGGATTCAATTGTCAGTGGTACCTTATCCGATTGATGCTTCAGCTTTTATAGCATGTCGGGTTGAAGTTTTGTCATGTTTGCTAAGGACGCGTTCGTATCAAGGTTTCGAAGACGCGTTCTTCTGATCTTTATCAACACAGCACGTCGCGGTGCCTTTAGCCCCTATTCATTGTTGCTATGACTGCGCGTGTATCGAGTCACTCTTGTCATCTTAGTGAGGCGCGCCCAATCACGATCCACCTCTATTGATCGCAGCTTGTTTACGCAGTTTGAGTCATGAAGTTAGATGTGACTCACAAATCATATCGTAATCCTTCCAAGGTCAGTAAGGTTCATTGTTTGAAGAGTGGTGTGAGACTAATATCTTTCTCATAAGTTGGGAATTAGAGTGCTTGCCCTGGAATTGGGAGGTCTGTAAGGCACGAAGTTGAACGGCATCGAATGACTCGTGTGGTGTAGCGGATCTCAGAATGCACCTGTAGCTGTGGTAGTAATGTATTACTTGCTAGCAGTGTAGCGTAATTGTTATACATTAATTGCTAGTCTGCATAGCTCCGCGTGATACATCATTCTATTATGGCCATAGCCCCTTACTATAGCCTAGCCATCTGCACCAAGCCTATGTGGCTGAGATCTACTATGACCAAGATCTGTCCGACATACTATCTGAGATCTCTGTCCGACATACAATCTGAGATTTGGGTATTACCATTGCTTCTCCAGGACTTCTTCCCCATCATTTTCCCCTCATTATCAATCACGCCAATTATTGCCCCTCAATGATATCATTATCGTGCTAATTATACATCGGAGGAGTATCAATCAATGGTAGGGGCGTCTGCCTCTCTGCTCTCCATCATATCCACACCGTCAGAGACCAATGCAGGGACCCCACTCCATAAGTTTTGAAATGAGGCAATCAACGACCCACGCAATGCAGACTGGCGACACGCATACGCCGTCAGTCCTTCTTGTGTGGGCACTGAGTCAACCGTTCAGAGAGTCTCGCGCTCCTTCCACCAGGCTGCTTGCCATTTCAAAAACACTATCACACGTCTCATCTCCTCCAGCAATAGCTCCACCTCCTCCGACCACCGGTGCGCATGAGCACTGTCATATACCAGAATCCATCCGCTCCGATATTGATATCTGCTCTATCCGATTCCGCTCCATCCGACCCGCTATTCCGACTACCTCCGCTCCATCCGTCCTCCGCTCCGTCCAATCATCCCCCGACCTTCTGCCCTATGCTTCCGCTTGTCCGCTCAACCGGTCACCTCCCGTAACACCTCCATTCAACTGGAACACCTTTCCCCTTTTAGATATATACTTTCCCTATCCGTACATAGACCCTTACTCCGGATCACCGGTAAATACCTTTACCGCTCGATCACTCATCCGACGCATACATATTGATATCCGCTCCGACTCGTATGTTTTCCCGCTTACTACTGTACAGTAAGACATAGCCTTTGGCTATGTCCTAGAGATCACTGCCTCATTACCTAGAAGTATATATATACCATATCATGTACTTAGATATTTTCCTCAGTCTTAATATTACTTGCATTCTCGCAGTTCCTACTCATGGGGATTCTCCGTAGGACCCTGCTACCTCTGGACACGAGTTTTGTCTCGTTGTCACCTCCGACACCCTCCGCTTAGACTTAGAGCCACACTCTAAGTCTTCCGCATTACTTCTCCGCTTGTATCAATAACTCCTTGCCCCTATTCCCATCCGTGTTACTTCTCTGCCTACTCCGCTCCGCTTCTAGTCGGCCCGCCGCTAGTAGCATTTACCTCCCAACCCTCAAAGCGGACCCTAGCGGTCCATCCGTCCTATCGTTGGACAACGTCGGAACCGCTCCAAATTTGGGGCATGTACTCGGCTAAGGGCGCAGCGCAAGAGCTGAAGCCAAGCCCCGACCCATCCGCTTCCTGAGAGCACGGTACCTAACAAGCACGAGCCTTGCACCACTCCAAGCGGACACCTATCCAAACATATAATGAGATACGAGTGAGTTCGACAAAGATACACTCACAATCCTGCACCCGTTCGTTCTCTGTACAGCTGTTGTCAGCACGCGAGTCCAACCAAATCCAGGATATAGTTCCTGTCCCTTGCCGCTCCATGTCGCCCATAGGTTTGACATCAGAATCCAAAAGCGGGCGCACAATCATCTCCCACCCGCACTTCTCAAGATGGCTGCTAAGGAACAACAGGGTGTTCCGTGCCCGTCTATACTTGAGAACGCTAGCTTGTTTCCTTGACTCTACAGTGTCGATGATTTTTTTTGCACGGGTAGAACCCACTTGACCGCGAATGTTCTTATCCTTGTACTTGTACATGTGGGATCGAAGGCGCAGGTGCGAGCGAATGTCATTGAGGGCATCAAGAGCCTGTGCATAGTGTAAGTCCCACTCGTGCCCAGCAAGCCTCTGGTCTGTAGGCGTGTCAATTGGGAGTTGTGATGGGAGCCAGAGTTTGAAGTCTTGGGGCTTCAGTTCTTCCATCCTCACACTAGCTTCAGATGATTGATGACGGAGTTGACAAACCACTGGCATGTACAACTCCTGGACGCGAACCCAGGCATCGAGCCATCGCTGGAGGGAGGTGATTTGAGTCTGCAGGGTTGCCTTCTGCTTATCAGTGTCATGGAGGGAGACATCGGCAAGCTTGGATCTCAGACGCGCTCTGTGTTCTTATGAGAACAACGCAGTAAAAAAGCATAGAACAAGACGTACTGTTGATCTTCGAGATCCATGCCCGAAGTAATCAATCCGCTTGGGGAAATGTCAGTGTGAAGTGAGACATTAATTCCAGCTTGAAGGTCCTGAGCTTCGAGCTCGGTGAGTTCCAATCTTACGGCCGCCTGTGTGACCGCTACTGTGTCTCAGAATAGCAAAGGAGTGACAGATAATACAACTTACGAGCAAACCGACTTTCAAGGGGATTGGGAGAAGAGTTGTCCTCCTCCCAGGCTTCGACTTCTGCCTTCCATTGAGCAATGAGAGCCGGCTGGATGGTCTTCTCCAGCTCCGCGAGAGCTTCAGAATGCTCTCTCGCCCACTTCACAGCTTCAACCATCTTCTTCAGTAATGTTTGCCCTAAGTCTATGTCAGAACTGGCGAGCGCATAGAGAAAGAAGACGCCACCTAACGCTGTGACTTTTTTCCAGTTCCAATCTCCGAAATGATTGTCAAGAGTGTCTCGACGTGTCCCCAATCCCATCTCTTTTGTGCTTGATGCTATGCGGTTGATATTCGCCCAGCCACGTTCGGGTGCTTCACCATCTGTTTGGCCAACGTATCGTGACCAATTGAACGAGAAGTTCGTGCGACACTTATTGATGTGTGCTTGGATGTGGAACTTTGGCACAAAGAAGCGGATAAGGGAGGATTCACTGGGAAGGCGAAGCCGTTCGGGCATTGTTTCCATTCGACTCCATAGTTTCTTGTGCCACTGACAGGCAATGTCGTAGGATATGTTGATCATGGAGACAGCGAGTGCGAGGAGCGCAAAACATACAATATAATCCATGTTAATGTATCTAATATAACATCTCATCAGTTGTCGTCGGGGGATAGAAATATGACGATACATACCGCTCCCCCTTCTGGAGGTCCCCAATGCCATTCAGAAGTTTCATGTCGTGTCTTGCACAGTCGATTGTCCCAACGCCAGTGGCTGCTAGTCCATGAGAGGACTTCGTGTCTGCTGCATTGACCACATTGTGGCTCACACATGTACTTCGCTACATAAAAAAACTGAGTTAGGTCTAGAAGAATCACCAGAATCATCTTACTTACTTCTTGCTTTTCTGTGGCACGGTCCGCAAGATAAGACTTGTACGCACTGTCCCGCACAAAATATCCCCATCCAACATTGAGGCTAGGATTGGCAGTGTCAGAGGACACTGCCTTTCGCTTCAGCCTGAAATTCGCGTTGATTGCCACAAATAACGCATACTTCCATCTGCGATGATGTGTGAGCATCAAAACGAAGGAATGACACAATATCTTACCTAGCGAGGAGCGGCTCTTTCTCCCAGTCTGGCGGTAAATTCTTCCCGGGCTGTGGGCATGCGGGGCAGAGAACTGCTAGCTCCCCTTCACCTGTAGCATCTACTCCAGCAGGATCGTGTCCCCTTCCTGCACGGCCAAGTTGCTTGAGATTGTGCCATTGGCGTACCATCCGCATAAAAGAAGAGTAGCGATCCTATGTTGTAATTAGATAAATGCAGAGACAAGGAAATGATACTCACCCTGATCTTTGATAAGCCAGAATTGTCGGTACGTCTTGCAAGCGAATGATAAAACTCATATGCTGACACTTTGTGTCACGAATTCCCAATACGAATCATTTTTCGTTCCTCAGCTTTCCACCGGCTACTCCAAATACCCGAACCGGTCACGTGACTTCACTGCCTGTCACACCTTCACCACTTCACATGTCACCTCCTGCTTCTCCGATTGGTTCCCCAACTCCATGGGCTAGAACGATCTCGCTTCCAATAGAAGCACCGGTCAGAGTTTGGGTAGCTATTTAGTAACCATCTTACTCATTCGCTTATATATCATGATGTCATGCTCAGTCATCCGCAGCATCGTACGACTCTTTCTCATTGGCTGATTACTTACAGACTCAGATATTTCCGATCCAATGTTATGTATATTAGTAGGTTAGTTAGCGTAAGTGCTCCTTAGACTTAACCTCTTCGTTTCCTACACTTGTAGTGACTTAGACATTCACGCTCAATACTATCTTGTTCATCTATCCTCTTGACCGAGTCCTAGTGGTTGTGATCTCGCCTTCATCATTATTGGTGAACACTAGTCATAACATTAGGTTAAGTCTACTCTACCACTCTGACTCGAACTTTGTCGTTGGACGCTTCGTCCTCGATAAACTTCATTGTGCTATTCTGCTGAGATTTATCTCGCGGATTACGTTTTATTCAATCATCATTCCCCGACGCGTTTTGTTATACCAATCTCTTTACCGTACCTCTTAGTAGAAGTCAGCCAGGCCCTCGTCTTACTACGAGCCGCCAGTTGATAAGGATCAGTGACACTTAGGTCCTGTTTCCGTACGTCTGCAGTTCGGCCCAAAACCCTGCCAACTGTACGCTACCTACTTGCTTTCTACGTAACAGAACGGCACTCGCGGGTCTTACAACCCTAGTACATTACCTAAGAGCTTTTGGGTATTAAGAAGACCCAAAGTTCACCGCGTCATTCGCGTACTCCTCTCGAGTACTACTTAGGTTGACGAACCGCTACACGCGCTGTATTCACACCTTTGTTATCACGGCACCTCCGTCTAGATCCCGTCTTCTCAGGGATAGAGCTCTCGTATCACATGACAACTCTTCCTGTTTAGAAATCAATTGTCCTTTCCTTCATGTCCGAGAATCTAGGAGAATCTGGGATAACCGCTTCAGAGGATATCGTTCTGCCAGCCGCTCCATCAGTCGAGGCACCAGTAGACTGGGGTCAGATCCAATCTCCCGCTCCCCACATCCCGCCCCGATTGTCATGGGGGAACCCACTCGCATCTGTAGGATTATCCACCACCCCAACCACAGGCCCGTCTGTCCCCATAGGCATCTTAGGGCCAGGGACGACTACCATCACCCATCGGGACATTTCGGACGCAATCCACGACAATGTCGAAGCAGAAAGGAAGTACACGAAGAGCTTGCTGGATCGGATGCAGAAGGAGATCAATGAACTCCAGAACAACTACTCAGACCTGGAGGACGAGAACACGAACCTGAAGGTCAGGATAATAGACGCAGAGACCCAAATCACGGCTTTGCTAACCTCGTCTACGACGTGGACCTCGGGTGGTACCTCTGGGAGTTCGAGCTCTGATCTCAAAATGGCGAAGCCAACAGAGTTCACTGGAGAAAAGAACTCCATAGATGTTGACGCATTCCTCACTCAGCTCGACATCTACTTCGCAGGTTACCCCGGAGCCACAGAGAAACAGAAGTGCACGTGCCTAGTCTCGTTCTGTAAAGGAGCTTCTGCCAAGTGGGCAGAAAGCGTTACACCCATGGCTCTTAGTGGTGTGCTCGGCTCTTACGCTTGCGTCAAAAGCAATATGAAGGTCATGTGGACCACCATCAACAAAGAAGAGAAGGCGGCAAGGGAGTTAGAAGCTCTCCGACAAGGGAACCGCTCCGTTGCGGAGTACATTTCCCTTTTCCGACAGAAAATTTCCTTCTGTCACTTCTCCGACTACGAGTTGATGCGCAAGCTTCGCTTTGGATTTGACCAACGGGTTAGGAACCAGTTGGCCTATATCCCGCCAAACAGAAAAGAGACGCTGGAGCAGTTGATCATGGAGTCGCTCATCATCGGGCAGAACCTAGAAGAACTTGACTATGAAAAGAAACAAGGCTGGACGCCTCGTCGTCAATGGGGTCAAGGGACTGCTGCAACATCTGCACCAGCAGCACCCAAAACCACGTCGCAAGGAGGAAACACAATGGACGTAGATGCGGCGAAGACAGCAGGAGGATCCCAGCAGCGCGAGGGCCCGGGAGAGTTCAAATGCTACCGCTGTGGCAAGGCCGGGCACATGGCCAGAAACTGTTTCGGAACACCCCTTGATAAGGGAAAAGGGCCAGCCGTCCGTGCCACCAAGACAGAGGAACCAGTCGATAAGCCGCTTACGTTGGCTGATATCGAACGCCTCGTGAACGAGAGGATCGCCCTCTCATCCATGTATAACCCAGAGAAGGTTGCGGAGAAGAAGGGTTTTTAAAAGGATCGAAGTTGACTGCGAACTTAGATCAGAATCATTTTTCCATTCTCGGTGACTCGGCAATTAGGTTTACAGAAGTATCAGAAGTATGTTCTGGAAATAAAAAAGAGCATTTTTACTTGCCAGTTACATTGGAAGGAAAACACAAGAAAGCAGCCATTAACGCTCTAGTAGACTGTGGAGCGACAAACCTCTTCATCAGCGAAAAGTTTGTCGAAAAGAATCAGGTCCAAACCAAACAGTTGTTGCGACCAATGTCAATCCGTAATATTGATGAAACAGACAATTCTGCCGGACCAATTACGAGTTACGCAGATCTGAAGCTTACGATAGGGGATCATGAGGAAGAAGTGGCCTTTCTGATCACAGATCTAGGAACCGATGATGTTATCATTGGAATAGATTGGCTACGATACCACAACCCCAGTATTGATTGGAATGCGGGAAGGGTGGCATTAGACCGTTGCCCGGTTAAATGTCAAGAAGCCAAGGTCAAGGACAAAAAGACCAAGGTGAAGAAACGAAAAGCCATGAACTATTCGATCCTTTCGGTGTTGCCCGAGTTGATACCGACAGAGGTTGACGAAGATGAGGATATTGAGGAAGCCTCTATCCATCATCAGGTTCAATCGAACAGCCTCAGCTCTAAAATGCAAGGACATGTGGGTACTATACCTGTCAGGCTTGAAAAGGAAGAACAATCGGACCTTGCTACTACTGTTGGTCAGAAGGTGCAGATCGAGGAGATAGAGGACGACGATTCACCACGAAATGTGTGGATCAGGTACAAAAGCTCTGTAGCATCAGAGTTAGCGCAACAGGAGGAGAAAAAGAAGGAAAAGAAGCCCATAGAAGAAATGGTGCCAGACTGGCTCCATGACTACCTTAAGGTCTTCTCCGAAGAAGAATCTACCCGATTCCCCGAGTCAAAAAAGTAGGACCATAAAGTAGATCTCAAGGACCCTAATGATCTCCCTCCCAATGCAAAAGCATATCCCCTGTCACCCGTCGAGAACGAAGCATGCGAAAAGTGGTTAAAGCAAGAATATGATTTGGGACAACTGAGAGATTCTGAATCTCCAGTAGCAGCTCCTTTCTTCTTTGTTGCTAAGAAGGACGGAAAGCTCAGACCCGTCATGGACTATCGGAGGTTAAATGAGAAAACCGTCCGAAATGCATACCCTCTTCCTCGTTCTCAAGATCTTATCGATCGTCTCTCCGGTGCAAAGCTCTTTTCGAAAATGGACGTTCGATGGGGTTACAATAATATCAGAATGAAGGAAGGAGACCAGTGGAAGGCCGCCCTCAAAACTCCGTTCGGACATCATGAGCCAGTTGTCATGTACTTTGGTATGACGAACTCCCCAGCTACCTTCCAAACAATGATGGACCAAATCTTCCAAGATCTAAAGGAAGGCAAGGTCGTTGTAGTCTACATTGACGATATCTTGGTTTTTACCAACGAAGATGTAGAGAAACATCGGAAGGTAGTGTGCGAAGTACTACAAAGACTCCAGGACAATGACCTCTATCTCAAACCAGAGAAATGTTCCTTTGAGAAGAAGGAAGTAGAGTTTCTCGGTTTGATCATCAAAGATGGACACGTCTCTATGGATCTAGTCAAGGTCAAGGGAGTTCAGGAATGGCCCACTCCTACTTGCGTTAAGGACATTCAACGATTCATGGGATTTGCGAACTTTTACCGTCGATTCATTCTCGGATTCTCGAACATTGCCAGACCCATGAATGAACTCATCAGGAAGGATGTGCCATGGGAATGGACGGACAAACAAGAAAAGGCATTCAGAACCCTGAAAGACAATTTTACTTCCGCACCAGTACTAGTTATGCCAGATGCAAATAAAAAACAGAAGATAGAAAGCGATGCATCTGACTACGCTACTGGTGGTGTATTTTCTCAACTGGAAGACGATGGACTTTGGCACCCGGTGGCCTTTTTTAGTAAATCAATGCAGGATGCAGAGAGAAACTATGATATCCACGATAAAGAACTTTTAGCCATCATCCGTGCATTGGAAGAGTGGAGGCATTATGTGCAAGGCACACCTCACCCGGTAGAGATTTGGACAGACCACAAAAACCTCGAGTACTTCATGACGAGCCAGAAGTTAACTCGTCGGCAAGCAAGGTGGTCCTTATTTCTTGCAGAATACAATTTCACACTGCAACACAAACCGGGGAAGGTTAATGACACTGCCGACGCTCTGTCCAGGAGGCCAGACCACAGAGGGGGGGTAGAAAACGACAATTCCGATCGCGTGCTTTTAAAACCCAAGTTTTTCCATATCAAAGCCGCAAAAAGAGGTCAGATTCTGATAGAAGGAGAACAATCGCTGTTAAAGCGCATCAGAAACTGTACTGATCTGGATCCGGAAGTCCGAAATGCTATTGAAACCCTTAAGAAAGCCCCTGTGCAGTTGCGAAGAGGATTGGAAGAATGGAATACCGAAGATGGACTCATTCTGTTCAGAGGATTGGTTTATGTTCCCAATAATAAAGAAATACGTCGCTCGGTGTTAGAGATCTTCCACGACTCACCCGCAGCTGGACATATGGGACGTGCTAAAACTCTCGAACTCGTTTCTCGAAACTATTGGTGGCCCCAGATGCAGAAATGGGTCAATGATTACGTAGATGGATGTGATCGATGCAAGCAAACAAAGGTGTTACCATCTAAACCCCACGGACCCTTAAAGCCTAATGAAATCCCCGAAGGTCCATGGCAGATGATTAGCTGTGACCTAATAACTGATCTCCCCGTATCAGAAGGCAAAGATAGCATTTTCGTAGTAGTCGATCGATTCACTAAGCAAACCCATCTCGCACCCACAACCAAAGACGTTACTTCGAAAGGAATCGCGGACTTATTTCTCCAATATGTATGGAAGTTGCACGGAACACCAAGGAAGGTGATTTCGGATAGGGGAACACAATTTGTGTCCAAATTCATGCAAGAAGTCTCGAAAAGATTAGGAACCAAGTGGTCCATGTCAACAGCATATCACCCTCAAACAGACGGACAAACTGAACGAGTCAATGCAGAAGTAGAACAATATCTTCGACTCTTCACGTCCTACCGTCAGAATGACTGGGTATCATGGCTCCCTATTGCAGAATTTACACATAATAATTCCGTTACAACTACTGGACATTCTCCATTCAAAACCCTCTACAGCTACAACCCTGAATTCGTCATTTCCCCTAACTCCTCTAACACAATCCCTCTAGCCGATGAAAGACTAGCAGAAATGAAGGAAGCACAGGGAGAAGCCAAGGCAACGCTAGAAATAGCAAATGACCGAATGAAGCGGTTCTATGATCATGGAGTAAAAGACGCACCTATATTGGAAGTTGGACAGAAGGTTTGGCTAGACGCCAAAAATATCAAACAACGGTGCCCAAGTCAGAAGTTGTCGGATCGCCGTCTTGGCCCTTTCGAAATACTTGAGCGAATAGGCGATTTAAACTACCGGATCAAATTGCCACAAACATATCAGATCCATCCGGTATTTCATGTGGGATTACTCACACCCCACAAAACTTCCACACTAACGCCGCGAATCGCCCCCATACGTCCACCCCCAGAAATAGTCCAATCTGAAGCAGAGTATCAAGTAGAACGAGTAATAAGCAGCAGAATACACCGACGGAAACTAGAATACAGAGTAAAATGGAAGGGGTATCCATTGGAAGAGGCGACATGGGAAAGTGAGGAAAATCTGAAGAACTCCCCCAGATTAGTCAGCGAATTTCACGCCGCACACCCTGATGCTCCAAAATCGCATCGAATCGCTTGTTCTATCATTCCAATTCTACAGACACCAGGTTTCCTCGAATGGAGACAGAAAAATATTCGACCATCCTATGTTCGCGAGGATGCTCACCTTAGAAAGGGGGTAATGTCACGAATTCCCAATACGAATCATTTTTCGTTCCTCGGCTTTCCGCCGGCTACTCCAAATACCCGAACCGGTCACGTGACTTCACTGCCTGTCACACCTTCACCACTTCACATGTCACCTCCTGCTTCTCCGATTGGTTCCCCAACTCCACGGGCTAGAACGATCTCGCTTCCAATAGAAGCACCGGTCGGAGTTTGGGTAGCTATTTAGTAACCATCTTACTCATTCGCTTATATATCATGATGTCATGCTCAGTCATCCGCAGCATCATACGACTCTTTCTCATTGGCTGATTACTTACAGACTCAGATATCTCCGATCCAATGTTATGTATATTAGTAGGTTAGTTAGCGTAAGTGCTCCTTAGACTTAACCTCTTCGTTTCCTACACTTGTAGTGACTTAGACATTCACGCTCAATACTATCTTGTTCATCTATCCTCTTGACCGAGTCCTAGTGGTTGTGATCTCGCCTTCATCATTATTGGTGAACGCTAGTCATAACACTTTGCTCTCGAAGGATAGAAGGTGAAAATGCTGCAGAACCGAGAACGTTGCTGCAGTTCGAGGCTCTGAGATGGTTGCCGGGTACCACCGCGCGTGTAGTAACTGTTTGTACCAGACCCGAGCTGAAGCGCAGCCACAGAAGTCCAGCGCGATCTCATGAACACCATCAAGTCCAATGACGACAAAGTCATCACCAGCAGAGGGAACAGGATTGTAACACTTTTCTCCAGGGTTATGGCCGAGTTGGATGCAAACTCTGAGGCTTTTGAGCGCGATGCGTTGAAAAAAAGACCCATTCCACATCTGAATATGATCAGTGAGACATCAGCACTGAAGCGTGAGACATACCTCGATCCTATGCAAAGGGAGATAAGTGTGGTTGCGTAGCGTGCATGCATTGCAGAACATTTGAATTCCAAAACAGTCGCAACACCGGAATTGAGGTGATACATCACCACACTGACAAGCGATGCCCTCTGATCCATGTCCGTTGAGGCGCATCATTTCATCCAGAAAACTTTGACGTTCTGGAATCCATGCGAGTAAAGGTGCATCCTTGAGTCTACTGAGTTATCACAACTCAAAGAAAGGGAAGGAGAATACTCACTGCTGCAGTGCGTTTTCCCAAAGGAGTGTCACTGACAATATCTTCTGTGATGGCTCCAGCATCAAAGCCCGAGTCACCAGCACACCCGACCTCGTCATCTATGAAATATGTGTTGTTAGTAGGCAAGTTGTCAGGAAGTCTCCCTTCAATGTAGCTTGTGTGTAAACGTGTGCTACCTTCATTGGTAATTTCTGCCACACGAAATCATATAAGGGGTCGTTCGGGGTCGGTAGAGGGAGGGACAAAGGGCTCGCGCGAAATCGCCAGCCTCTTGGGGGGGCGACCATGGCGCATGTGTACTGTAGTTCAATGTATTAGCTCATACGGTTCGGGCAGTAATACAATCCCAATTCCGCGTTCGGAAAACCTCCCCCTGCTGGCCACCATCGAATACACAGTGGGATCGAACGTTCGCATTCAGTTGACCGATTGCTAAACTCATGGCGGAGATGCTGATACTTCGTGCAGTAAGTAAGCGCCCCACCTAATATGCACAGAGACTGACCTTCCTTTACGCTGATGCAGAATCAAAGGCCACATGTTTTGGGCGACATGACGTAAACTGAGCCGCGAGAAGGATGAAACAGGGAAAGAACCCCAGAAGTGGTTCTGGTACTGGGGCGTCGGCCATCAAACTTAGTAGTAGGCTAGCTGATTTAGTAGCTGAACAATGTCAGCGGCTCAGAGCACAAATTCATTTACTTACCTGAGACCATCCATACTTGAACGTTTTCAGGCTTGAAGCTTGAGATCTGAGAGCTTTGAATGGTGCCCTCTGAGATTAGTCAAGCCAATTTCGCACTTGCTCAGATTAGTCAGCAGGTTTGCACTGGGAAAATTCGTCTGGTCCAAGTCTCACTCACGATCAGTGACAGTTAATTCCAAGGACTTGTCTGCAACTCTCGAAGGTAGTTACATCTCTCAAATTCTCAAATGATGGAGTGATCCTCCATATCGCGAATTCCTGACCCTACCGGCCCTCCAGGAGCTAGATAAATTTTCTTGTGGCGAGTGATACATCACCCATATTACTTGAAATCCAGCTGAACTCACCGTCATGACCCAGAACTTATTTTCGTCCATTCAGACAGACACCATGGTATTTGTCCGACTGGACGGTCTCATCGAATTTCTCCAATGTCTCTCCCTTGAGGATAGCAATGCGTTGTCCAGGGGATTGGGCATTGGCATTAACACTAGCGGAGAGACGCCTGATGGTGAATCACTTCCATTTGGTTCCTTGAGACTACCATGACTCACATACCTTTTGCAATGATGTAGATACCGTCACCACTGAAACGCCCCTGCCCACTCCCCCCGCGGCTTCCGATAATTCCCCTGCTGTCACTGTGACCAGCATGGAAGTTCCCATTCCTACTCCCTCTACCCCTACTGCGGCTGCTCCTGCTATTCCTGCTGCCTCTGATCCTACCATTCCTACTACCCCGGCTCCTACTGCGGCTGCTCCCACAGGCCATACCACCATCTTGGTTGAGTTCAACGAATATGACGACTCTGATGATGAGGATTCAGCCATGGCAGCTGCTGCACTTGTGGATAACTCCATATTACATTTTCACCGTGAAACATACTTCAATGTGCCCGCTGTGGGTACAACAAGTGCAGCAGCGAGAAATCGATCTACTACACAGTTGGGTCTTTGCTACCTGCTGCCTCACTTGAGAACAAGTACGTTCGACCCTAAAGGGGATTGCTACTGGGGAGTACTAGTCTCTGTCTAAACGACCCTAATCAACCCTACCACAGGTAGGATGAGGATTCGCAGAAATGTGGAACAAGCGCAACTAGTGGAACTCAAGCGGAACAAGCGGAACCCAAGCGCAACTAGCGGAACTCAAGCGGAACAAGCGGAACCCAAGTGCAACTCAAGCGGAATGGAAAGGAATGAAACAGAACTCAAACGGATAAAGCGCGGAACGTACTGATTCGTTGGAACCTGTGGGTCAAGTCGAAGGAAGTATATCACAAGGTTAGATTTATAGTGGGCATAAGTCAAAGCGGTCCTCTAGTAAGGTGAAGGAAAAGTGGGAAGGTAAAAGATGGGATTCAATAATAAACACCCAAGCCCTGAGTACCACTACTTATAGGGAACATTATTTTCAAGGAACAGTAGGTACAGGTAGTAAACTTCTCAGGAAGCGGAAGTGAAGGCAGGCAGTGCACATGGGCGCAATACTCCGCAATAGGGGTCCGTGCCATAAGGGCATGTGTCAGTGTGATCTGGATAACGTTAGAAGCAATGGGAAGAGAGATACAACGTACCAATGAACCTGGAAGGACGGGGACAGGACATGCGAAGGTTGTCCGACAATGCGCAGGAATATCGGATAGTGCGGGCGGGTTCCGAAGGATGCGTGGGAATGCGGAACGCATCGGACGATGTGCGGGAAACGCGGAACGTGCGGAATACACGGAACTGATGTGAGACGATGTGGAAAGGATGGGGTTTTATGCCTACAGTGGGGGAGTTCCCCACACCGCCGCCGATGCCCAGGCACCCTTCTATTGTATCACCAGGGGTCGATACATTGGCATCTTTCAGGCTGGTGAATTTTTTATTTCGCATTCTGTGTTCTAATACTAATTTCTTCATTGCAGGGATGCTACCAGTCCGAAGGTGCTTGGCGTCTCCCGCAGTATCTTTCACAAGGTGGACAGTATCGAGAAGGGCATGAACATCATGAAGGCCGCGATAGAGCGTCGTGATGCCATCCAGGTATTGTAATTGTAGCACGTAGTTTTTCAGAGGATGTGTTATGTTATAGCTGTCAGAGGGAATCTGTGTGGAGGTCCAGTGCATGAGTATCTCTCTGCTTCAGGACCTTGAGAGCGATAGTCTGTATTGACAAATATGTTTATATGCGGAAATGAACCTAAGCAGCGGCCTCTGCAACAATAGCCTCCCATCTTGACTTCGCTTCCTGTCTCGACTTCGCCTCCTGCATGTGAAGTAGCAACCGAGCTCTTGCAGTCTTGACAAGCTCTAAGAGGGTCGGCATATTGGGCTGCCAGTGGTGAATTAGCATAAAGACTGGTCCGAAGGATTCAAACCTACTCTGTTGTAGTAGCAATACTCTACGGACACTGGGGAAGGAGGTGGTGGTGGAGGGATTACTGGAGCAGGCCTGGATGGCATGTTCATTGAGCTATACAATGGTTGATTTTAGCGATCGACATGTTCTGCAATGAAGACTCACCTGCGAGTATGTAGTAGTTGTTGGGTAATGGTTGAAAACTGTAAGAGGATGGTTAGTTGAGGTTAAATCAAGGAAAGGTGGGATAAAATCGCATAAAACTCCAAATTAAACTCCTACATGAAACGGTTCAAAACTCCTACACACAAATTGAGTATCTGAACCCACTTACGTTCAACCCACATTCCCGCACATGGCACGACCACGTCTATACAACACTGAAGAAGAAAAAGTGGAGGCCGCACGGGGTCATCGGCGCGCTTACTATGCACGGTACACTTCACTTTATCGTCATATTGTCGATGGCAGAACTAAATTCAACATTCAGTAACCGTGATAGGTTATGTGCGCAAAAACGGCAAAAAATGGAGGAAACATGCGAGGGAAAGGAATACAAGTAAGACACTTACCGCTTGAAATCACGACATCACCTAACTTCTGGCCTGCACAGTGACGGTCAAGCGCAGTGTGTAGGAAGGCCACGTTTGCATCAAACCCCTGAGCAGAAAGTCAAAGCTGCACGCAATTACCGGAAAGAATATTATGATTGGTATGTCATCTTTTGCTTACCTGGTTTGAATGAAGTATATCCACTCATTTCGCATCTAGTCATCGTGAAGAAATCCGTACTAAATATCGGATCAAATCAGATTTAAATCAGTAGGTCGCCCAATTGTATATTCTCACCTACTCAATCAATCACTTACTACTCGGGCAGTATGAGTCTCAAACCGGCGAAGCGGGATATGAACAAGACAAACAAGACAAACAAGACACGCTCTCACAAAAATAAATGGTATGTCATGTTCATCTCGGCAGCTTTTAATAACGTTAAATGATCTTAAGGGCCAGGCTTTGCGATGATATTGATGCGAGCCTGCAGGTCTTGATTGAGTCTTCTGAATCAAGCACAGTGTTGGTAGAGGGCCTATGCACCCACTTCATAGCAAACCCAGATCAGCCTGATTCATTGAATGTCCTGCGGTCCGCTCATGATGGGTTGGAAGACCTCCTTCAACGTGCGCAGTCTTTGGAAAACGATGTTATTGACAAATGTGGGATAGGCCAAGACCTTAGTTGTGCGCAGGGTTCTGTGACTCGTGTTCGAAGGGTTCTGGCGGACTTGAATGATGTGTTTACTCACGCTATGCTTGGTGTAGACTACCTAGTGGAAGCACACGCGAACTGCAGACTGAAGCATCAAGTTACCCAAGACTCAAACAAAGACATTATTCCTTAGAGTCTTAGTAGACAGTCCAAATTATGATAACATCCCATATCTGCTATCCTCATCGATCCACCTATCACACATTCAATCACGCATCATTGTGCATAACGGAAAAGGCCGAACTGAACTTGAAAACACACCTGTGGCTACGCATTATTGGCGTCTACTTGGCAATTTTCATTTGCCGCGAGCTCAAAGGTATGTCGTTAATTATAGATATACGTATGAGGCTGAATATTAAATGTTAGATGGCACCACGTACCTGGGTAACTGCCGACCAACAATCTTTCATCATGACATATCGTGACGAATACCTCGAATGGCAGAAAAAAGGCAACTACTCTAACTTTTGGCAACCGTTCTTTGAAAAATGGGAGGAGCAGTGGCCTCCAAGGGCTTCCCTGGATCCAACTGTCCCTGTGGGTCAGGCGCTGACAGTGGAACAGTTGAAGCAGGAGGCTGAAATCAGGGCGGCAGTTCAGACGGTTAGTTTCTTCTTTTACACGCGTTATTTGTTGACTTACACCATGTTCAGCGTTTGATGGTCAAATTGTGTAATGACAATGGTCATTCAAAGGTTGCCCACAAGGCAAATGCTGCAGGGAATTCAGTTGTCAACAAACTTCTCAAGAATATCGTCAAAGGCCCAACAACGACCCAAATGCGTCCCCTTAAGGAAAGCGAAGTCTATACCAAAAAATATTACGCATCTCGAGTCCAGCCTTGCGTAAAAGATGAGCTAAGTGCCATGAAAGAACAACCTGATGCCCCCGATCTGAAGAAGACAAACCTTCGCGTGATTCGAAAAACATATTGCGCAATGCTGGGAGAGTGAGTCTGCTGATGTGAAGGAGGAAATATCGCAACTTGCCAGAGAGATGAGGGAAGCGAGACATGAGGCAGCGAAGGGGAGAGAATCATCTGAGGCGACCAATGAAATGTAAGTGTCCTTCTCTTCCCGTCCCACACTTTACTGATTTAAGACAGAATTGTACTGAGATTTACGGAAATTCTATCAACGTTCTTCGGAGAGCTTCATGAGGCTACAGGATGGACTTTCAGTGTCCTGCTCGGTGGGCCTGACCCATCCAATGGAGGCACAATTGATGTCAGCAGCTTGCATGTAGGATCAATGAAGCTCGGTAATCGCTTCAACCAGGCGTTCGCAAATTTCAACGACAATGTTATGGTACCCTACTATGAATTCGTTTCTCATGTTTTTCGTACGTTTTTCCATGTTATACTCTCTATATTGCGCTGACAATGTTTAGCTGAGGCTGGGATTCTGAAAGAAACGGTTGCCCAGAGTCTTGAGGGTGAAGATCTACTCCGCTTTTCCGCCGCTCCAGACGATATTCCCACAATGGAGGATTTCTCTACGACCATACCATCTGATATATCACGCCCCCCATCCTTACAACTAGAATTAACACCAATCATCCCTTCTGCGCCACCTGAAGTGGATTTCTTCAGCAACTTGCCTCCCACTCCTCAACATAATGAGACTGGCCACGAATTGGAATTGCCCGTTCTCCCTATGCCGGAGGGGTACATTCCCTCCCCTCCTCCATCTCTACCATATCTAGAGGGCGTGTTTCCCTCCACTTCTATGTTTTTTAATCCGAATTCAAATCTTGACTCTTTCGACGATGCTTTTCGCGAGATGCAGTCCCAGGATGCCATGGCGGAGATGCTGTGTTCCCCTCCCCGTATTTGTTATCAGTTCGACCACTCTTCCCCTGCTCGTATTGGGTATCAGTTCGACCACTCCATCAGGTCCTCGTCACCCACGCTGACCGCTTCCTCTGCGCCTATTATATCAAGCTCCACCACGCCAGCTACGAGTCCCTCTAGGACGGTAGTTACAACTCCCTTGGTAACACCTACTCTGACACCCGTTATGTCAAGCTCCGCCATGCCAAACTCCACCATACCAGCTATCACCCCCTCCAGGACAATGGCTACCATGACACCTAGCCAAACCATGCCAGCTACTTCTGCTACAACCGATGTTGTCCTCACTCCCGGTCCGACCCTCTCACCAGCTCATGCGCTACCACCGACTCCGCCGATTTTCAAGCAAAGTTCTGGGATGACGGCTGATCCAGTTGTCCCTATGGATTCCAGCAACATAGACGATGCACCTCCCGCTAAGCGTCAGAAAAAGAGTCAATATGCTCGTGCATGTGTAAATGCAGTTGAGCCACAGACTCTCACTGTCACAGGCTGAGGTAAACATCAACGATTCGAGTCAACTCGAGCTGCCGCTGCCAACGCTATTGGTTGAATATCTCAGTGTGTTGATATATTATGTTTTGAATAATGCACAAGCATACATATATAATTACATATTGCGAAATTTAATTTTTGATTGTCTTGGGATTGTGTTTCACACTTAAGACTTGCCTTTGAACGCAAACATGCGAATTGCCGAAGAACTGTCAATGTAGAGTTGCGTGAGGGGACAAGCACTTCAAAGTCAAGTCTGTTTGCCTATTTAGGACACACAGGAAAACATATTAGCCCCACTGAATTTTATTTTGTTTCGCCCATTTTTTTACAAGTAATTTATGGGTAACAGACTGACAATGAGAGAAATGAAATAAGCTCACCAAGTGATCTTGCACTGACACCAGCGGGAATTCCTGTATGAGAAGGACCAGGACAAGAGTACAAACACGCGGATGAATGGAGGCGTTCTGCACATTGAAGGCAGAAGTCGGGGGAACATGCGTTGTCGAAGACGCGTCAAATTCAGACTCCGTCTCGGCTCTGTGGCGCTTGTGCCTCACACCTAGAGTGCCCATGGGAATTCCTGCATGACGGGGACAGACAACAAGCCAGGCCAAAGTCAGCATAGCACTAATAAGTGGCACTACAGACTCTGATAATGAGAGAAATAAAACGAGAGAATAAAATGAGCTCACCAGATGATCTTATGGCGGACCCACCAACCAATACACAGCGACACCATCATAATCCCGTGCAGCCCCAACAACAACAACCAACCAGGTAGTAATCCCCCCTCTCAAAAATTCGCACCATAATCGGATGGCTCGTCTAGTGATACAGATACGATTACGCGTACACCTCTGAGGAAGTATAGGGCTGCTGGAAGTGCTGGGAGTGTGTATACTGCTACTGCTGGGGGAACACCAAGGGTTGAGTATAGGAGTGGGAGTGCTGCGGGTGGTAGGAGTGTAGGTGGTGGAGGGGAGAGGTATGTGAGTATGGGTATGAGTATGAGTGCGGGTAGTGGAGGTGGCGCTAACAAGTGGCGCTTGAACGCAAACTCGCGAGTTGCCGAAGAACTGTACAGGTGCTGAAAATAACATGCTGACAAATATAAAGAAGGGGAACAGTGCACCTGTACCTGCATGAGGCGATAAAAATACCGCAGCGTTGGAAATAAAGGGCTGACAAATACAGAGAAGCAAGGATCCAAATCAAAGTACCAGCTGACAAATATGAAGAATCAAGGTACAACCAAAAGAACGGAGGGAACAATCAAAAAGAACCAAGAAAGGATCGTGAGAACCAGGAACGGGCTAGATGAAGGCATCACTTTTGGATTCACCAGTGATACATCACTGATACATCAGCTGCTATTGCTGTAAGGACGCTATGTAATGTAGTAATTAATGTATTACAATTTCACTACTACTGTAGGTTGAGTAATGTATTATTATCACAGTATAGCCTGCAGAATGATGAAAATGAATGAGCATAGCCTTTTTGTATGTCGCTGCACACGCGCTACCATGCAGTGAAAATGAACGGGAACTGATTCCCGATGATAGCAAATTGGTTACAATGCGGTTCGTGTAAACAGATCTTATGTCCAACAGATAAACTAGTGCTTTAGATCAGCAATGACTTAGTGAGAACATTCATAGAAGATACTCGACAACATACATGCATTAATATTGTACTTTTATGGGGCCTTAGAATATCATCCAGCACCATCTGAAACAATGGTCGAGATGGAATGAGCGAAGGAGTTTATCTCATGCTACTGTTGCAACCGCTGCCGCCAATGGCTCAGTTATAGTAAGCTTCTCAAGAGCATCCTCGAATTGGTCGGCATCGCTGTTGTCATCTTCCTCCGAGTCTTCCTCCGACACAGACCCCTCTCGTCATCCAGAGGTTTGTCTTCAAAATCAAGCTGGCACTCCTGTTAGTACATCTCACTGAAGAGAATCAGCACAACCTACTACTGGATCATAGACCGCTCTAATGATTAGGCTGTGACTTGCGGTGAGTTTGTGAAACAGAACTGAGAAGATGGCAGAAATGCCACTCTATGGCCCACGTGACATTTTAATGGTCAAGTTTGTTCCCGGTCTGCCCATGTCAGACTCCAGAGTGGTAATGATGAGGTCGGTCGTTCAAGTGATGGGATTTTGTCCCCTTGCACTACTATCGTCTATTCGTGATGAGCCTCTATATCATGAGTCACACTGGCCGAATTTACAATCCGCTCGGCAGACATTAGATTCATGATTTGTGAACTTCAACAGAATTTGATTAGGATGCTACTAGTAAATCTGTGAGCTACAGTATGTACAGAGAATTATATAGAAATAAATGCAAATCATTAACACTGTGTAAAATATTGCTGAGGGAATGTAGTGGATGTGGATATTGATACATAGATGGATCGTGAAGTCCATGACATCAGGAAAAGCCTCCTGAGACAAATTCAATTGAATCACAGTAATACTCGATTATTATCACAAATTCTCAGCCTTGGGAAAATTATGGCATGTAGAAGTACTTTTGTACCCCCTTGACAATAATGCATAGTTATCAAGAATTAGTTGATATTTCAAGTGATTGTTGTGAATTTGTTAAGACCGTGCTCAGGGGTAAAGCGGAGGCTGGGGGGCTTGGCTTCAGCTCGTGCGCTGCGCCCCTTACCCGAGTACATGCCCCTAATTTTGGGATGTAGTCTGATGCGAGTTCTATGAGTTCCGACAGGACGTTGGAACGGGGATCCTCTGAAGGAGGACCGTCGGACTACTAGGTGAGCACGGGAGAGTCGGGCGGGGGTTCCGCCCAACAGGAGAGAGGCGGGGGACTACTGGGGTCGGAACCCACAGTAGGAACAGAGTGGGAGGAACTGCTCGGATGAAGTCCGAAGCAGAGCGGAACGGAGGGGACGGATGCGAGAGTGCGGGGATTATTTCCGATGCACAGGAAGTCGGACGAGTGGAGGAACGGAGGAATGTAGGAATGGGGGGACAGAGGGACAGAGGGACAGAGGGACAGAGGAACAGCGGAACCCACAGTATAGCAGAACCCGCGGAATAGCGGAACCCGCGGAATAGCGGAACCAGTGGAACCAGCGGAACCAGTGGGACGGAGGAACGGGGAAGCGGGGAAACGGAGGGTTGGAGGACAGTCGACCTAGGGAGTCAATCCCCTAGGCCGGGAAACAGGAGTTTGACTTGGGAAAAGCTTTAAGTCAAAGGGCAGAAGAGCAGGGCTTAGAAAAGGTAATATTCAGACTGAGTATCTACAGACAAATGTACATATGTTTATATACTCTAAGTGATGAGCATAGCATAGCAGAAGGCTATGTGCTGAGTGTACAGGATTACAATAGGATGACTGGGACATACGAGAATAAGGCTCGGGGAATAGTATGTACGCGACAGATCAGAATCGCTAGGGTATAGGGATTACCGGGAACCCGAAAAGCGGAACTATAATACTAAACAGGGATAGGACCAGTTGAGTGGTTCCTAGTCTAGGAGTGAACCGGTGAGGTGGTCGGATGGGCTAACACGAGCGGAACCGAGGCGGTCGGAAAAGCGGAGGGAGTAGGAATAGGATCGGGCGGACCGATAGGGTGGAGGAGTGGAACCCCAGATAGGGTCGGATGGAAGGGGTATGGTGTCGGAGGACATAGGGGTAATGTCGGAAGAGCGGAACGGAGTTGGGGCGGAGGTAGCAGGGCTAATCCTGCTGAGATGCACTTTGTGCAATGTTGGGAAAGGAGGAATGGAGTGGACAGGGAAACAGGGGGTTGGGCCAGCAGTGGGGATGCTCATAGGAGGTACTGGGGGTACTCGGATCCGGTATATGACAGAATTGCAGAAAGTATATGTTGAAGCAAATCATGTGCATCAGACAGTGTTACAAGAAAAAATAATAGCATTTGATTAAAATATGTATATAAAAGTGACCAGAAATATGTGGACTAAGCAGCTGAAAACCAGGGTATGCAAAAAGTAGTGATCAATGAATCTGCACTATTTACAGGTATAGATCAGCACCATACTACACTGTGTGTTGTTCAAAAATTCCAGCGGCAGAGAAGACTGAAGTGGCTGGAATCTGGGGGGGCTGAAAAACTCTGCCATCTTCACTGCAATCAAGTATCAGTCAGCCATGAAAATGTTGGAAATCTAGGGGTCTAAATTTTTTTGCCCACCTTCAACACCATCAAGTATTGGTCAGTGGTGACAATGTTAGAAACTTGACCCCTCAATTTACTGTCATGCTCAAGATCTGCTAAACACTTATCTAAGTCTAAGAAAGGAAACCAACTGACCTAGCGCCCTGTGCAGTGAACAGCTTGAATGCACTAGGGGCCAGTGGTGGTACTTGGTACCATAAGGTGCTGGCGGAGTTTTAATCTATCTTGCTCTCATCTTGCATGTCGATTATCTGGCTTACCACCATGTATGGCCTTACCCATACGTGTTGACAGGACCACTGATTGAGCTGATGTCACTCGCTGTCTCAGAGGTGAGTCTCATTCTTGATGCTTACAGTTCATATATGCACTGACTACTAGTTGAACATTGAGAGAACAACCTTGGTCACGACATATCTGAGGCATGCATACACAAGGGAGGTTATATCCAGTATGTGCAGTTGCCATGTGCAGGCTCTCACTGTCATATACCGGATCCGAGTACCCCCAGTACCTCCTATGAGCATCCCCACTGCTGGCCCGACCCCCTGTTTCCCCGTCCGCTTCATTCCACCTTCCCCGACAATGCACAAAGTGCATCTCAGTAGGATTAGCCCTGCTACCCCCGTCCGACCCTGTTCTGCTTTTCTGACGCTACCCCTATGTCATCCGACCCCATACCCCTTCCATCCGACCCTATCTGGGGTTCCGCTCCTCCGCCCTATCGGTCTGCCCGATCCTACTCCTACTCCCTCCGCTTTTCTGACCCGCCTGGTTCCTTCAGTTCCGCTTGTATTGCCCCACCTGACTATTAGTCCGCCCAACCGCCTGACCAGTCCACTCCTAGACTAGGAACCACACAACTGGTCCTATCCCCGTTTAGTATTGTAGTTCCGCTTTTCGGATCACCGGTAATCCCTATACCCTAGCGATTTCTGATCTGTCACGTACATACTATTCCCCGAGCCTTTTCTCATATGTCTCAGTCATCTCTCTTGTAATCCTGTACACTCAGCACATAGCCTTCTGCTATGCTATGCTACTTACCTAGAGTATATAAACATATGTACATCTGTCTGTAGATCCTTAGTCTGAATATTACCTTTTCTAAGCCCTGCTCTTCTGTCCTTTGACTTAAAAGTCTTTCCCAAGTCAGACTCCTGTTTCCCGGCCTAGGGGATTGACTCCCTAGGTCGGCTGTCCTCTGACCCTCCACTTCCCTGCTTCCCCATTCCTCTATTCCGCTGGTTCCACTATTCCACGGGTTCCGCTCTTCCGCGGGTTCTGCTATTCTGCGGGTTCCGCTGTTCCTCCATCCCCCCATTCCTCTGTTCCTCCACTCATCCGACTCCCTGTGCATCGGCTGCACTTTCCCGTGCGTCGGATCCAATCCCCGCACTCTCGCATCCATCCCCTCAGTTCCGCTCTGCTTCGGACTTCATCCGAGCAGTTCCTCCCACTCCGTTCCTACTGTGGGTTCCGACCCCAGTAGTCCCCGCCTCTCTCCTGTAGGGCAGAACCCCCGCCCGACTTTCCCATGCTCACCTAGTAGTCCAACGTCCTGTCAGAACTCATAGAACTCGCATCAGACTACATCCCGAAATTAGGGGCACATACTCGGGTAAGGGGCGCAGCGTACGAGCTGAAGCCAAGCCCCCCAGACTCTGCTTTACCCTGAGCACGGTCTTAACACTCACTCACAATGATTTCTGGATCTACAAGCATATATTCACTGATTAGCTACTTTGGTTAGTACACGAGGCTTCAGCATTGCTCAAATTTTGTCTGACTACTATAATACAGGGATGGACTACTCTTGTATGCAGATAGCTGGTACATCGTTGATTTTCTTCTTCTTTGTTTGACTAACATGAGGCCCATATAGATGATATGTGGTGGCACAAATATTGTATGATTTGTACCTGGTGTGTACCATCTTTGTAACTTGCATGTTCGTCACATCTTGACTTTCTGTACCACATAAGGCATATACTTCTCATTGTGGTCATGTGGATAGTTGGAGGTATGTACATCTATCTACCAACACCGAACCATCAACTGATAAGCACCACACATCCAGGAATGTTTACTGTTGTTATTGCTATAGTCAGTACCAGTGCCACGGGTGTAAGCAGATCATATGGGTACCACGATGATCACCCACAACAGCACTTGCAAGGCATGATTGCCAGGCTTTCAGACAATAGGCAAATGAGCTGGCGGCGGTGCAGTGCAGGGTGTCGCGTATATACTAAGTGAATTGTATTACTTAATATTCAATAATATTCATTTATTCATATATTGCAAGCAATTGCCATTTTAAGTCGAGCAGTACAATATAATATTAATAATTGCAGCTGTGGTTAACCAGGCCCCCCAGACCCAAGATATCTGCCATCAGATACTAATGGTCCAGAAGGCGTTGGTGAGCTGGCAGAAAAGCAGAAAAAACAGCCATCTCTCTGCTGGAGGAGAACAGTGGTGGAAATTTGGCGGAAACATAAGGTCCAGATTGGTTTTCTGTCATGTTTCCTCCAGCAGAAATTTTAGACAACATGCAGTACTAGAAGCTAATCCTCACCCATGCCATCAAGGTCAAGTAGTGCCAGTGCCTTTCTATGCTCATTGGCCAGATTTTCACTGCCCTTCTGTTTCAAGATCCTGCCAGTAGCATCAATATCCAAGTCAAAGTAGCACCATGCACACCAGCAAAACTTACTGTATGGCTTCATAAATGTCAGCCATCATGTAGTGAAACTTCTTTGGCACGTTCTCCTTAAGTCCTTGAGGAACTTCACATGAAAGATATATGTTTCACTGAATTGATTCCCTGTAAAGTTGAACTTCCCCAGAGAACAAAGTGTCTTCCAAAAAAGGCCTGCATAGATCTTGAAAATGAGTTAGCACTGTGCAAAGACCTAGACAGAAGGACATTACTGCCATCACAACCAATGCCAACAATAGCACAGGTATTTCAGGGCTATTGGTCTTGTTGCTCATGATTTTGATGAAGTGCCCTGTGAATTTGATGCTGATGGATTTTGTGCCATTGAAGACTCTGATATGTAATAGAAAGATCATGAGTTCACCCTGGTTAGTGCTGCCACAGTCTGGTCCAGAACCATGGTTTGAACCAGACTTTTGGTCCAGTTCTCTGTGGTTTGGTCCATGGTTGTCACACCAACCAGAACTGGACCTGAAACTGGTTCTCAGTTCTCACTCATTCAGAACAGTTCCGTTTTGGTTCAGCAGTCCTGAAACATCCTGAACCATTGTCAACTTTGAGTTTATCTTCTTCAATATCTGTCATATCAACAATCCATACAAGTCCCTTCTGCCCTCAGTTATCATCCTCCACCCTCATTCATAGTCCTCTGCCTTCATCTACACTCATCTGCCTCTAAATATGTATCTTTGACATCAGGTACATTCCTCTGCCCATGACTCAATCAAGGTATAAGGCTGTCATATACCTGATCCGACCGCTCCGACATATCAATATCCGCTCCGCCCGACCCTACATATTTCCTGCTTTCTGATCACTCCGCTCCGCTCCATCCAATCACCTTCCGACCATCCGCCCCTACGCTTCCGCTCGACTGCCTGACCATTCACCTTCCATAACATCTCCATTCAACTGGAACCTCTTTCCCCTTTTAGGTATATACTTTCCCTGTTGGTACATAGACCCTTACTTCCAGATCACCAGTAATCCCTATTACCACTCAATCACTCATCCAACGCTTACATATCGATATCCGCCCTGACACTTATGTTTTCCACTTACTACTGTACAGTCAGAACATAGCCTTTAGCTATGTACCAATTATCACTGCCTCATACTTAGAAGTATATATATAACATATCCTGTACTTAGATATTTCCTCAGTCTTAATATTACTTGCATTCTCACAGTCTCTACTCGTGAGGATTCTCTGTAGGACCTTGCTACCTCTGGACACAAGTTTCACCTTGTTGTCACCTCCGACCCTCTGCTTCAACTTAGAGCCGCGCTCTAAGTCTTCTCTATTACTCCCCCACCTCTGCCAATAAATCCCCCTGCTCCTATCCACCCTCCACACCATCCTCCGCCTTCCCGCTCCGCTCCTAGTTGGCCCGCCGCTAGCAGCATTTACTTCCCGACCCTCAAAGCAGACCTAAGCGGTCCACCTGTCCTATCGTCGGACAACGTTGGACCCACTCCAAATTCAGGGCATGTACTTGGCTAAGGGCGCAGTGCAAGAGCTGAAGCCAAGCCCCGACCCCTCCGCTACTTGAGCAGCACGGTACCTAACAAAGGCACACATCAACCCATTCCAAGTCCCCTTTGTATATTCTGCTTTCTGCCTAGTCTTAGTACCTTGTATGATCTGACTCTCGATTCCAGTCTAGCCTATTGTACACTATGGTTCATTGTACCTTTTATCATTACTTTGTACTCCGCTATGCTGTGCCACATAGTCCAAGATTTCTATAGTATATAAACCCCATGTATTCTGGTAGTGTTTCTACAATATGAATATAGACTCAAACCTAACCTAACTACCTCCAACTTGACTTGAGTCTTACTCATTGCCTACTCTGACCTCAAGACTAGTCTCACTGATTTCTGCCTCTGTCTTCTGACAGTCCTTGTATTACTTTCTATGTCAGACTTAGTCCCTCATAGCCTTACCTCTGTCAGAGTGCATTGGACGTAGTCCCTTGTGACCATACCCCTGTTGGAGCATGTCAGAGTTGACCTTCAGCAAGCCCCTATCTGTCCTTTGAGGTTAAGGGCACCATACTTGCATAAGGAGTGCAGCGCATGAGCTGAAGCTAAGCCCCTCTATAACCTCCTTCCTACCTGCTAGGCACGGTTCTGACAGTATATTCATATTTCAAACCTTACAAGTACATCATCTGTGTCCTTGTCATATACCGGATCCGAGCCACTCCCAATACCACCTGTGAACATCCCCACCCCTGGTCCGACCCCCTGTTTCCCCATCCGCCCCATCCCTCCTTCTCTGACAATGCACGAAGTGCATCTCGGCAGGACTAGCCCTGCTACCTCCACCCGACTCCGCTCCGCTCCTCCGACGCTACCCCTATGCCCTCCGACACTATTCCCTTCCCATCTGACCCTATCTGGAGTTCCGCTCCTCCACCCTATCGGTCTGCCTGATCCTACTCCCTCCGCTTTTCCGACCTGCTCAGTTCCTTCAGTTCCGCTTGTGTTGTCCCACCCAACAATTAGTCCGCCTGACCGCCTGACCGGTCCACACCTAGACTAGGAACCACTCAACTGGTCCTATCTCCATTTAGTATCATAGTTCCTTGACAAAACTTTGAGTGAAGCGGATGCGATCCGTCAGTACCCTAAGCGATGCGGATCGGGTCCGTGGATACACCTAAGTAAAGCGGATAGGATCCACACTACTCTAGATTAGCTACACTGTGGTATAAATGAATGTAAGTGAAGACATACCTCAGCCACTGCCAAAGGAGGCAATAGAAACGACTGAGGGAAAGTATGTACCAAAGCACCTCTAATATATGGGCGAAAACCCGCTTGCTAACCGACCATGCGTCTCGCCTATGAGTCCATGACTTGTATCAAACGCACTCACTATTACATGTACACCCGAAACATTCCGAAACAATCCGATGCACCTTATTACGTATCCGAGCGCATGCACTTGCATCCGGGCACGCATGCGAGTGACGGATCGTCCATATGTGCATGGACGAGCGTCGGATGGGATTCGGATACCCGCGGATGGGTTTAGGATGGGTCGGATGGATGTGGGATATCATCTGGTTTTGTCATTCCTCCTTTCAGATCACCGGTAATCCCTATACCCTAGCAATTTCTGATCTGTCGCGTACATACTATTCTCCAAGCCTCTTCTTGTATGTCTCAGTCATCCTCTTGTAATACTGTACACTCAGCACATAGCCTTCTGCTATGCTATGCTCATTACAGTTAGAGTATATAAACCTATGTACATTTGTCTGTAGATACTCAGTCTGAATATTACCTTTTCTAAGCCCTGCTCTTCTGCTCTTTGACTTAAGGGTTAACCCAAGTCAAACTCCTGTTTGCCGGCCTAGGGGGATTGACTCCCTAGGTTGGCTGTCCTCCACTCCCCCGCTCCTCCACTCCGCTGTTCCGCTGTTCTGCTGTTCTGCTGTTCTGCTGTTCCGCTGTTCTGCTGTTCTGCTGTTCTGCTGTTCTGCTGTCCCTCCATTCCCCCAGTCCTCCGTTCCTCCGCTCGTCCAACTTCCCACACGTCGGCCGCCTTTCCCGCACATCGGAACTGATCCCTGCACTCTGACACATCCGTCCCCTCCATTCCACTCTGCTTCGGACTTCGTCTGAGCAGTCCCTCTTCTACTGTTGGTTCCAACCACAGTAGTCTCCCGCCTCCCTCCTGTCAGGCGGATCAACCCCCGCCCGATGTTCCCATGCTCACCTAGTAGTCTGTCGGTCCTCCTTCGGAGGACCTCTGCTCCGACATCCTGTCAGGGCTCATAGAACTCGCGTCGGACTACACTCTGAAATTAGGGGCATGTACTCGGGTAAGGGGCACAGCACACGAGCTGAAGCCAAGCCCCTCAGACTCCGTCTTACCCCTGAGCACAGTCTTACCAGTCCTCTGTCTTGGACTTTGTCTAAGTGGCCTTGTCCACTCTGCTTCTACTGTTGGCTCCGGCTGCAGTAGTCCTCTGCTCTTCACTGGTTGGGCGGTCCAACCCCCACTCGACTCCCTCGTGCTCATCTGGTAGTCCAACGACCTGGTCAGAACTCATAGATCTCTCATTGAACTACATCCGACATTAGGGACATGTACTTGGATCCGACTTCCTGTGCTGTTGGGTCTGATGTTTTTCCCCTCCTGATGTTTTTCCCTTCCAACCTCCAGCCTACTGACTCTGACTACTTCCTCCAACTTCCCACTTCCTTTGGACCTCCGACTTCTTGTCCCATAAATATCATGAACTCCACTCCTGAAAGCAAGCAGGAATACCATATCCACGGTAGAACAAATAGCTCCATGTCACAAGTTTCACAAACAAATTATTTTTCCTACCTCAATGTTGCATCCAAATCTAATCACTCAAGTCATGTGACCACTTCATCTCTTCATGCTCATCACATCTATTACACTTCACAACAACCTCCTGTCACAAAGTCACCTGTGCCCTATGCCTGCATCTCTCCCTTCACATCGCCAATACCATGTCTGATCAATGTAACAATCAATCTCCCCCCTCAACCCTCTTCCTGATAGATCTCAGATAGATCTTCTATCTAATCTCTGTCTCTTCTTTTCCATTCTCAGATTCAGATCTCTTATCAGAACTCATGATCCGACCCCTTATGCCTGAAACTTCTCTTTCTTACTTGCCTTCCTATTTAGTTAGTTACCTTTTCTGTCTTGGTCTGTGCATGATTCTCATAGTATATAAACCCTAGTCGGTAGTAAGTAGTTCTCTAATCTAAACCTCTTGTACCTTCTGTAGAGAATCTACTTGACGTCCATCACTCACTCCTCTTTTGTGAGACTCTAGACTGAACCCTTCTAAGACACTTGTCTAGACAACTACATCATGACTCTACTTCTCTATCCTTTTTGTTTGTTGTTTGAGTCCTGGTCTGATCGCTTTGAGACATACATTGTCAAAGAGTTGTCACACTCCAACACCTGTGCAAATTCCTTGCAAAAACCCCTATCACTGCCTCTGCTCCGTGATCTCTGCTGAGGCATTGCTTGGCTTGGAGTTTCGCTCGCTCCCTCATTGAGAAACCTTGTCGATCTGTTGATCTTGACAAAGTTTCTCTGAGTACCGTCCATTGCATGAATTCTCCACCAAGTATTTTCTTCACTCCTCCAGAAAACTTCCTGACCCATGTCTTGAACACCCTATGTCCACACCACCATTGTCCTCTTCGGCTTTCAACAGAAATTCCCTCCAATACTTCCACTCCTCTGTCCCTCCAGAGAAATTACTCTGTATAGAGCTCCAATACCCCCTCAATCGAACTGCTCTGTTCATCTCTGTGTTCCCTTCATTCATCACTGATCACACAGTTGTCTCTGGTTGGTGTCTTTTCCATACCCTCACTTTCGACCTACTCCGCAAAAACTCTGATTCCAATAAACCATTCGTTGATTCCTAAGTACTTCACACAGAAACCACTATACAGCACCCCTCCACTCTCCACATCTATGAATCTCCTCCGCATCCCCTCTGACCTCTGACCTCCTATGGATTATCAACACTAT